GCTAACAACTGTCCATAACTCCAGTTCCAGGGGATCCAACAGCCTCTTCTGTCCTCTGCCGGCATTCCACGACATGAGTGCACAAATACACATTAAAAAAATAAAATATTTTTTAAAATGTCTATTATAGGTTTATGATGTTCATAAATAAAATCAAGTGGAAGCTTATATACTTTCTGTTAATTATCTAAAAATATACAATGCTCCATTTATTTTGGAGAAACCACTACATTAGCAAATGGGAGTTCAAAAATATCAATCAAATATAAAAAAGCTGGAGTGTTACATCAGATGTAACTTACTTAATATTTCTTGGCCTTTTAATGAAGTTCACATTTAATGTAATTTAATTAAGCTAGGTGTGGTGGTGCACATCTATAAGCCCAGCATCAGGAAAGCAAAACAGGAAGCTCACAAGTTCAAGGCCAGCCTGGGCTATACATCAAGACTCTTCTCTCAAAAACCTAGCTGAGTGAAGAGTACTTGCCTAGCATGCACACCCACAAGACCCTTTGTTAGTACCATAAGCAACAACAGTATGTAACTCACTAAATGTCCTACAATACAGAATCCAAGTGATTGCTTAAAATTTACAGTTTATGGGCTGGAGAGAGGGCTCCATGGTTAAGAGCACTAGCTGCTCTTGCTAAGGACCCAGTTTTGATTCCCAGCACCCAAATGACAACTAACAAAATCCATTAACTCCAGTTCCAGGGGATTAGACACTCTCATCTGACCTCTGTGGGCACTGCACAACACAGATGCACTCACATGAATGCAGGCAATACACTCATAAAAAACAAAACAAAACCCTACTTTTTAAAAATAGTTTTTATTAAGGTTTTTTCCCTAATATTATTATATACTAATATATATTAGTAAGTATATACATTATATACTAATCTGTATTAGAATATATTATTAAGGAATAATACTAATTATTTCCTTTTTTGGAGACAGAATCTCACTATGTTGCCCTAGTTAGCTGGTCTTATACTCACATTCCTCCTACCTCAGCTTCTGAAGTACAGGGATTGCAAGTGTATACCATCACCCTCAGCTGAAGTTTGTTTAACCTAGTGTTAAACGACTAATGTTTAACCTTCTACTTTATGAGTAAGCAACAATTTAACATTCTTGTTACTGAACATCTAGGCTGCTTCTATTTCTTAGTTATTAAATAACATCAGGTAGAAATTAGCAATATCAATTACAATAACATTTTAACTATCGGGTTTTTAAAAACAGTGTGGGCTGCTGGGCATGGTGGTGCAAGCCTTTAATCCCAGCACTCGGAAGGCAGAAGCAGGTGGATCTCTGTGAGTTTGAGGCCAGCCTGGTCTACATAGAGCTCCAGGCCAGCTGGGGCTACAGGGAGACCCTGTCTCAAAAATACAAACAACAACAACAACCTCCCCCCCAAAAAAAACCAAAAACAGTGTGGTGGCCTACAACTTTAATCCTAGCCAGATAGAGAGAAGGATCTCTGTGAAATCAAGGCCAGTGAATTCCAGGCCACCTAGGGCTACGGGGAGACCCTGTCTCAAAAACAACAACAAAAAACTACCAAACTACACAAAACTATGTGTGGGTCAGGGTGTAGCAGTGCGTGCCTTTAATCCCAGCACTATGCAGGCCAGAGGCAAGAGGATCTCTATGAATTTGAGGCTAGCCTGGTCAACATAGTGAGTTCTAGGGCAGCCAGGGCTACATAGGGAGATCCTGTCCCAATAAATAAATAAATTTAATAAAAAAAAATTTTAATGGGGGGCTGGAGAGATGGCTCAGTGGTTAAAAGCACTGGCTGTTCTTACAGAAGACCCAGGTTCAAAGCCCAGCACCCATTTGGTGGCTAACTGTAACTCCAGTTCCAGGGGATCCGATGCCCTCTTCTGTTCTCTGCAGGCACTGCAGGACACGGGCACATAACACATGCAGGCATAACATTCATACACATTAAAAAAAAAACTTAAGCTGGGCACGGTGGTACATGCCTTTAATCCTAGCACTTGGGAGGTAGAGGCAGGTAACAAATAGGGTTTTTCTTTTTATTTATTTATATTTTATGTATATGAGTATTTTGCTTGCCTGTATGTGAATGTACCCATGCATGCACTGCCCATAGAGGCCAGAAGAGGGCATCAGATCCCCAGGAACTGGAGTTGTGGATGGTTGTTAAGCCACCATGTGGGTGCTGGAAACCAAACCTGGGTCCTCTGTAAGAACAGCCAGTGCTCTTAACTGCAGAGCCATCTCTCCAGTCCCAACAAAGTTTTTTTTTTTTTTTTGTCTTTTTGAGACAGGGTCTCCCTGTAGCCCCAGCTGGCCTTGAACTCACAGAGATCCACCTGCCTCTGCTTCCTGAGTGCTGGGACTAAAGGCGTGTACCATAACAACCCAGCCCAACAAATAGTTTTTAAAGCATACCATGTATGATTCTTTTTGTTTCTGGTGCTTTGGGTGCTATTTACCTTGATAAATAATGAAACAATCCTTTGGCAAATCCTGCCGTGTGATACAACCTCCATCTGCTCCCAGGAGAAACAGCACTTTGGGAGGGTTCTTCCTAATTGCGTCTACCCCAGGTTTATAGCCAAGGTCCAAAGCAGCTACCTGGCTTGCAATCCTTTAATTAAAAAAAAAAAACAAAAAACAATTATGGAATTTTAGAGTACATGTAGCATTTGCAGTATAAACAATGTGAGTAATTGCATAGGAATAATTTCTAGTTTCTTTTTACATCCTATGCTGTCAAAGACCATTTCTTACTCACTGGATATAGTCTCTTTTTGTGTGTGGAACTGGGGAGTGAACCTGTGCATGCTACTAGGCAAGTACTGTAATGCATCTCCCAACACCCTGAGGTAATATGCAATGGAATAATTCTGGAAACTTTAAGATAGCTCTAAATGCCTTAAGTTCAACTTATTTAACATAGCAAAACATAAAACACACATTAAGGCAAATATACTCATTAGAGAAAAGTCACATGATTTTGAAAATCAAAAGGGGGCTAGACATGGTGGCACACTGCTGTAATCCAAATACTCAGGAGGCAAAGGCAAGAGGAGGATCAAGATGATCTTCAGTTGAGGCCAGCCTGGGCTATACCAGGAGTTCAAAGTCAGTCAGGATTATATAAGACCCTATCTTGAAAGGGAGGGAGGGAGGGAGGGAGGAAGGAACTAACACACTATTGATAAAACAGTAATTCAAGCAGGAAATAACTCTAATTCTGGAATACAGGAGTCAGAGACAGGAGGACTGCAAGTTTGAGACCAACCTTACTGGGCAAAATAGAGAGCTCAAAGCTAGGCAGGCATGGTGGTGCACACCTTCAATCCCAGCACTCAAGAGGCAGAGGCAGGTGGACCTCTGTGAGTTCAAGGCCAGCCTGGTCTACGTAGTGAGTTCCAGGCCAGCTGGGGCTACAAGGAGACCCTGTCTCAAACTCAAACACACACACACACACAGAGAAAAGTTCAAAGCTATCTGAGATACAAGTGATACCCTGTCTCAAAATACCACCCCCTCAAAAAAATTCAGGAAAAATCATTACTTTACAGATTAGCGTATGTCAGTCAAGATTTTTTTCCCTATGACTATTATTTAGAGCAGTAGAAAATAATCTTTTAAAGAAAAGGTCTAGAATAACAATCCTTCTAAAACAAGGTAGAAACATTCAAAACACCTTTAGAAATATTTACCCTTGTTTACTACAATAGTTCTACTTTTAGAAATCTACCCAAAATTATCTCTGCTGTTTGTTTATTCAATGTTTTGGTGCAGAGGTAGGAATCCATGGCCTTTCGAATGGCTAGAGAAGTACTTTACCAACAAACTACACCCTCGGCCACTCATTGAATTATTCAAAAGTTGTCAGAAACTAACATCAATGTGGGCTCGAGAAATGGTTCAGTGGTTAAGAACACTCACTGCTCTGGTAGAGAACAGGGGTTTGACTCCCAGCATCCACATGGTGACTAACTTCAGTTCTAGGGAATCTAGAGCCATCTTCTGGCCTGTGCACTGCACGTACTTGGTACACTTACATTCACACAGGCAAAACACACACACACACACACACACACGCACACACACACACACACACACAGTATCAATGTATGTGTAAAAAAGGAAATAAAAGCCCTGTGCACACATTTAATCCCCGCACTTGGGGGGAGGCAGAAGTAGGTAGATCTCTGTGAGAGCAAGATCACCCTGCTTTACAGTGAATTCCAAGCCAACTGGGACTATAAGGAAGCCCTGACTAAAAAATAAATAAATAGGAAATACATAAATTTTTTTTTTTGGTCTTTTTGAGACAGGGTCTCCCTGCAGCCCCAGCTGGCCTGGAACTCACTATGTAGACGAGGCTGGCCTTGAACTCACAAAGATCCGCCTGCCTCTGCCTCCCAAGTGCTGGGATTAAAGGCATGCGCCACCATGCCTGGCTTAATAAATAAAAATTTTAAAGATTACAAATGACATAAAGCTCATAAAAGAATTCCTAACTATAGGAGAAAATTCTTACTTGGTAATGAGAACTAGTTAAAATCAGTACACAAAATTGTAGTCACAGTGTAATTTCAACTAAATAACTAAAAAACATTTACACGGGAAAAAAAGAAACTAAAATAGCAATAGGAATTATTTACAGATCACGAGATAACCACCACTTCCATGTCACACTTTGTTCTCTTTCCAGCTTTCCTAAAATATACTTCCATAATTTATATGTTTAGAAAGAAACACCTTCAGTCAGATTCTCGTCCACATTAGCTTATGTTTTATCTTTTAATCAAAGTCAGAGGACTTGCTGCAAGTTTTGAACTGATTTTAAGTATTCACTTATTGTTTTCAACAGCCACTATTTCAGGGTTGTTTTTTTTTTTTATTTTTTTATTTTGCTTTATTTTTGAGACAGGGTCTTGTATATCCCAGGCTGGTCTCAAAGTTATGATGAAGTCAAGAATGATCTTGAACTTCTGATCTTCCTGCTTCCATCTCTGCTGCAATTACAGGAGTGCATGGCCATGCCTGTTTTATGTGGTACTGGGGATGAAATCCAGGGCTTTGTGCATGCTAGGCAAATATTCTAATAACTGAGCTATATCATATCCTCTGCCCCACATTTTAAAAAAATTAATTTTTGGCTGGGTGTGGTGGCGCACACCTCTAATCCCACCAGAGGCAGAGCCAGGTGGATCTCTGTGAGTTCAAGGCCAGCCTGGTCTACATAGTGAGTTCCAGGCCAGCTGGGGCTACAGGGAGACCCTGTCTCAAAAAGACCAAAAAATATAAAAATTAAAAAAAATTTTTTTTTAATTAAAAAAAATTAATTTTTGGTCCCTATACAAAGAAATGGGTTTAATTTTTATTCCCCTCCACATTGCCCTAACCCACTCCCTTCAGAAAACTTACTGTTATTACCTTGCATTCTTCTCATACAGAAAATATTTTGCATTTCATATCTGCAATGGGAATGATATTTCTAAATGCTATTTGTATATATAAATGTGACAATTCTGTCAGGAACACATACACCCAAAATCATTTGAATTTTATAGTATATAAACAATTACTCAACAAACCTATGAAGGATATTCATAACTTTCCAATCTCCAGCAACACCACTTGTTACTCGAATCTTTTGTGCAATGCTAGACACAGCTGCAAGAATTGCTGCCCCATCATTTCTCTGGAGTGCCGAACTGCCTAAAACCACCATTGGTTTTTTAGCTTCCTTTAAGACCTATTTAAAAAAAAGCATAATTAAAAATACTACAAGTAGCTGGGCATGGTAACACATACTTCTAATCCCAGCACTTGGGAGGCAGAGGCAGGCAGATCTCTGAGTTCCAGGCCAGGTCTACAGAGTGAGTTCCAGGCAAGTCAGGACAACACAGTGATACTCTGCCTTAAATAAGTAAAAAAAAATAAATAAAATAAAAAATACATAAATAAATAAATAAACAAACAAACAAACAAACAAGTATGCTAAATACCTAACTGTACTTGCATCTACAATATGTTCTTTCAAGTTTTGGATCTAACTCAGAGTCTTTGATTTACTTAAAAATACAGAATACAGCCGGGTGTGGTGGCATACACACACCTTTGATCGCAGCACTTGGGAGGCAGAGGCAGGCAGATCTCTGTGAGTTCAAGGCCAGCCTGGTCTACATAGTGAGTTCCAGGACAGCTGGGGCTAGAGGGAGACCCTGTCTCAAAAAAGACAAAAAAAAAAAAAAAATCTATCTATCTATCTATCTATCTATCTATCTATCTATCTACACACAATATATGTACAACCAGAGTTAATTTAATATAAAACATCTTGCCAATGCTACTGTGAAAAAGCTGAGTATCACACAAAACAAATTTCATATAAGTATTGGGATTAAAAATCCTAGTCAAGCTGGGTGTGGTGGTGCATGCCTTTAATCCCAGCACTCAGGAGGCAGAGTCAGGTAGATCTCTGTGAGTTCAAGGTCAGTCCAGTCTACACAGTTAGACCCTGTCTCAAAACAACAATAACAACAAAGAGAGAAAGAGAGAGACAGGGAGACACAGAGGAGAAAAGGAAAGAAAAAAGAAAAGAAAAGAAAAAGGAAAAGGAGAGAGTCCTAGCCAAGTATCCTTTGATCAGAGTGAGTGTGGACAGGTCCCATACAACCTAGAGATTCAAATGGTACTGAAGACTCAGGTGTGGTGGCACACTCCTGGAATTCCAACACTTGGGAGCAGAAGTAAAGGAATCATCACAAGTTTGAGGCCAGTCTAGTCTATGTAATGAGTTCTAGGCCAGCCAGGGACACATGAAAATCTGTCTCAAAAAAAACAAGACAAAACAAAACAAAACCCAAAACAAAACAAAAAACGCCAGGCATGCATGCACCTTTAACCTCAGCACTCCCTGAGGCAGAGTTAGGCAGATCTCTATGAGATTGAGGCCAGCCTGATCTAAATACTGAATTCCAGGCCAGCTGTGGCTACAGGGAGACCCTGTCTCAAAACAAAAACAACCAATGACAACATGGTACGAAAGGAAAGGAAAGGAAAAATCATGTTCAAATATTATTGCCTACTGCCTCCTAGACAGAGAAGGAGGTAGGGAAAGCAATACAGCATATCTAAAACATTAAGGGTTTGGCTTTACATTACAATAATTCTCTCAATGCCAAAATCAGACAGGAAGTAAATCTCAAAAGGATAGAAAACCAGAGACTTGTCGAAGATCGACAAATATGAAGCTCAGTGAAACATCTATAGTTCATGTGTTACTATAAAAACAGTAAAAATTTGGGCCGGGCGTGATTGTGCATGCCTTTGATCCCAGCACTTGGGAGGCAGAGGCAGGTGGATCTCTGTGAGTTCAAGGCCAGCCTGGTCTACATAGCAAGTTCTAGGCCAGCTGGGACTACAGGGGGACCCTGTCTCAAAAAGACCGAAAAAAAAAAAATTAGATAGTAATAAAGCAACAAGAGTAAAAATAAAAGTTAAGCGCACCTGGCTGAATGGGTGGTTTCCCGAAGCAATGTCCTGCAGAATTTTAGGAGAGTCTCCAAGATGGTCGTATCTGTAAGTAAGGTCCACTGGACTACCTATGAGAGCCACTTTTAAGTCATTATGAAGCCAGCTGAATAAAAAGAATTTTGGAGCCAAATAAGTTAGATATAGTTTACCAAGTCAGACCCATACTAAGTTTGACTCTATTTACAATCACAAAATGTTAAAAGCACTCAGACTATTTAACCTTAACAGATATAATGATTTAGTGTGTACCTTTCAAAATAGAGTATTGTAAAAATACACATCAAAGCAATTCAGCAAATTAATTTGCTACGTAGGAATGCTAAGTACAAGTCAGACATAAACAAGAACTTTGATCTTAGAATAACTGCTCTGCAGTTTTTATTTTGCAGTGCTTACATGGCAAGGTCAATTATCTCCCAATTACCCATTTAAACACAGTTCATGAAAATAAACTATCTGTGGTGACCATTTATTCTGGTTTTTCTGAGGTGGTGATACATAATTCCCTCTTCCACTCTCAACTGTTTCTCAGTTTAAATAATAAATCACATGGCTGCCCTATTATTAGAAAAAAAACAATGTGCTGATGAGATGTTCTACAAAATAGTCTGTGCGCTTCAGAAAAAACAAAAAAGAGTCTGAAATGTCAAGACATTAATTGCAATATCTGACTCCAGAATGAATGTTGAACAGGAAAAATAAAATTGCAGTAAAAGGGGGCTGGAGAGATGGCTCAGCAGTTAAGAACACTGGTTGTTCTTACAGAAGATCCAGGTTCTAATCCCAGCACCCACATGGCAGCTAACAACTGTCCATAACTCCAGTTCTGACCTCCGTGAGCACTGCACAACACGGGTGCACTTACCTACATGCAGGCAGTAGATGCATACACATAAAATAAAAATAATAAATAAAAATTCTAAAAATTGCAATAAAAGATGGGGCTGAGGGGCTGGAGAGATGGCTCAAGGACCCAGATGGCAGAGGACCCAGGTTCAAATCCCAGCACTCACATGGTGGCTAACAACCATCTGTAACTCCAGTTCCAGGGGATCTGACACCTTCTTCTGACTTCCATGGGCATTGCATGACACGGGTGCACTTACATACATGCAGGCAATACATAATACACACAGACACATAAAATAAAAATAATAAATGTTTTTTTGAAAAAAAAAGATGGGACTGGGAATGTAGTTCCATTGGTAGAGGGCTTGCCTAGCATGCACAGAGGGAGAAGAACTGAATTTAATCCCCAGCACCAAACAAACAATAAAACCCAAAACAAAACAAAAAGTAAAAACAAGGGAGGGGCCAGCAGGATGACAGCTCAACAGATTATGACTCTTGATACCAAGCCCGGCAAACTGAATTGGATCCCCAAGATTACAAAGTAGAAAGAGAACTCGACTCCTGAAAATCATCCTCTGATCTCCACACATACACCATAGCATGTGATACACACCCACACATAATATAAAAACAAACAAATACGCATGCCTGTAATTCAAACAGAAAGTTGGGAGGCAGGAGAATAAGAAGTTCAACCTCAATTACGTAGTAAGTTCAAGGTCAGCCTGAACCACTTCATGAGATCCTGTCTCAAAAAGAAAGAAAAAGGGGCTGGAAAAATGGCTCAGTGGGTAAGAGCACTAGCTGCTCTTGCTGAGGACCTGAGTTCAGTTCCCAGAACCCACATGGAAGTTAACAATCATTGGCAACTCTAGTTCTAGAGGATCTGACGCCCTCTTGGCCTTCAGAGGCATTGCATGCACGTTGTACATTTACATACATTCAGACAAAAATGTTCATATACATAATAGTATTTTAAAAAAAGAAAAAGAAAAAAAGTATAGAATGAGGTGTTGACAGCACCTAGCTATAATCCCAGCATCTGAGAGCTTAGTAGAGGCAAGAGGATCAGGAATTCAAGGTCCTCTGTGACTACATAGTGACTTGGAGGCCAACCTAGGCCACATGAGACTCTGTCTCAAAAGCAACAACAAAGAAAATTACAGAAAAATTTGTGAAATTTAAATATAAAGTATGTATTACATAATAATCTTGCATTAAGACTAAATTTATATAGAGAATGCACCTGGTTTCAAGAAATTCACACTATGGTATTTTAAGGATAAAAGGGCACAATGTATACAACTTATTTTCAGAAGAGTTAGAAAATTATATTCACATACCTGTATCAGAGAGTGCTAAAATAATGGTGCAATGTTAACTTCAGTTGATCTAGGTAAATAATACAAATAGCAGGTACTACAGGACCTTTTTAAACATATAAATTTTTCAAAATAAAAAAGATGGGCCTAGCCAGGCATGGTAGAACACACCTGTAGTCCCAGCACTTGGGAGGCAGAGCCAGGTGATCTCTGTGAGTGCAAGGCCAGCCTGGTCTACATAGTGAGTTCCAGGCTAGCTGGGGCTATAGGGAGACCCTGTTTCAAAAAGATTAAAAAAAAAAAGATGGGCCTGATGGAGCAGTCCTGTAATCCCAACACCCAGGAGCCCAACATAAGAAAATTACAGTGTTAGGCCAGCCTGGACTAATAAACTATACTTTGTCTTATTAAAAAAAAAAAAGCTGGGTGGGGTGGCTGAGATGGCTCAGTGGGTAAAAGGCACTTGCTGTTAAGCTTGATGACCTGAGTTCAATCCCTAAGACCCAAAACCAACTCTAAAATTGTCCTCTGACCTCTGAGTGTCATGGCATGCACATGTATTTGCACAGACACACACACACACACACAAATAAATAAATAAATATAATAAAATGATTTAAAAGTCAACAAAATTAATTAAAAGATATAGGGCTGGGGTCTGGAGAGATGGCTCAGCAGTTAAGAGCACTGGCTGCTCTTACAGAGGACCCGGGTTCGGTTCCTAGCACCCACATGGCAGCTAACTGTCTGTAACTTCAGTTCCAGGGGATCCGACATCCTCTTCTGACTCCTGTGGGCATTGTACAACATGGGTGTACTATTATACATGCAGGCAATACACGCATCCACATAAATAAAATAAAAATTATAAATAAAATATTTTATTTATTTATTTTTTATGTGGATGTGTGTAAAGAGCAGCCAGTGTTGTTAACCACTGAGGCATTTCTCTAGCCCCCAAAAAATATTGTTTTGAAAAAGAAATGTCTTCTGCAAGAACAGCCAGTGTTCTTAACTGCTGAGCCATCTCTCCAGCCCCAAATAAAATATTTTTTTTAAAGATATGAAAGTGGATGTGGGTGGTTTGATTCCAGCACTTGGAAGGCAGAGGCAGGCAGATCTTTGTAAGATCAAGGTCAGCCTGGTCTACATAGAGGTTCCAAGCCAGCTAGGGCTACAGGAGACCCTGTCTCAAAAAACAAAAACAAAAACACAACAAAAAAGCTATGGGGGTAGGAAATGATCTGTCAGGAATCTTTCTGCAGAGTCAATACAACTAACACATGCTAGGAATAACCTAAAATAACCACTTTCATACATACAGCAATCACATATTTTTACACCTTGATTATTAGTTACCTCTTTCGAATTCTAGCATTAAACAGTGGTGCCTCAAAACGTGGATTTGTACCAATCAGAAGGACAATATCTGCCTCTTCCACGCCAGCAATTGTTGTATTGAGAAGGTAATTGGAACGTAAATCTGTGCTAGAAATACAATATGACACAAGCTTAAAGAAAAACAGTAACAACAAAAGCTCCTGCAAATTACAACTAATATATGCTGAGAACCATGCAATATCCTCCCATCATCAATCCCAATGTACTCGCTCAAAGGTTTTCATTAAGTGTGTCTAAGTTTTGTTTTGTTTTTGAGACAAGGTCTCACTCTATAGCCCCCGCTGGACTAGAACTCACTATGTAGCTCCATCTGACCCTGAACTTGAACAATCCTCCATTTACCCTCCCAAGTGAGCCACTATACCAGGGAGTATGTCAAAATGAGATCAAACTTACAGTATCTCTTAATCTATCTGATTTGCCCCCATTTTTTAGCTTTTGATTTTTCAAAGTTTTTAATTGATGTATAGTAATTCCACATTCATAATCGCATTTTTATACACATATAAAATATACTTTGATCATATTTCCCGTGGCTACCCTCTCACTCTTGCTAATCTTCCTTTTCTCAAACAGTTCCGTTTCTACTTCTGTGACTTTGACGTCTATGTGAAAATAGATTGGTATGTTAGAGAATCATAGCAAGTCACAAATTGAGTCGCTGATACAAAGATGTGGTTTTATGTAAATACAAGGAAAAATGATGGCTGAGTAAGGTGGCACACACCTTTAATCCTAGCACTTGTGAGAAAGAAGGATCCTCAATTACAGTTTGAGGCCAACCTGCGCTAAAGCAACTCTTAAAAAAAAAAACACAAAAAATCCCAGCTTGGTTTCCTTGGCAGGATGGCTGCCAGCGGACTCTACCGCGCCTGTTATCAGGAGGTGCTGAGCACTGTGCACTTATTCTATCTGGATATCACAGTGAAACAGGGATGAGATAAAGTCCAAGAAATTTTTATAAAGAATGCCCGTGTGACAGACCCCAGAGTGGTTGATCTTCTGGTCATTAAGAGAAAGATGGAGCTGGAAGAAACCATTTAAGTGTGGAAGTAGTGGACATGTGTTATGGGGTTCTTCCATGAAACAGAAACACTAAGGCCAAAGGATTTCCTATCCAAGTTCTATGCTGGCCACGACCCATGAAGTCACTCAGTGGAAAGGTGCTTGTGATATTTATTTTAGAGTCCAAATAAACTCATTATTTGATGGTTTAAAAATAAAACAAAACAAAACAAAACAAAAAACAGCTCAGTGTGGTGGGGTACACAGCACTCAGGAGGCAGAGGCTAGCGGATCTCTGTGAGATTGAGGCCAGCATGGTTTACATCATGAGTTCCAGGTCAGCTGTCTCCAAAAGACCAAAAGAAACCTAGACCCCAGCTTCATGTTTCTCACCCTGCTCCTTCGGTGGGGAAGATCTCTTCAGTGCACAAAGTGTCAGAGTCCACTTTATTAAGCAAATCTTTCAGAGACACTAGGGCTTCAGCATCCACTAAGCCACCTGCAATGGCTGCTACATCCTTGCCTTGAAAACTCTGCAACTAGAATGAACAAAAGGTATCATTAAGAAACCTACAGTCAGCAAAGACCACAGCTGTTCAGAAAATAAGACAAGTCATTTTCAAGATCCGCCTGCCTCTGCCTCCCAAGTGCTGGGACTACAGGCGTGCGTCACCACACCTGGCTCTCAAGTACCAAAAAAAGTAATGAACATCTGACTAAAAAGTTTTACACTGATTACTAATTCATTTAAGAGTGGAAGGGAGCAATGGATGTGGGGCTCAGGTAGTAACATTAGCTTGGCAGGAAGCTAGTTGTTTCATATTTGAGAGGAGTTTCAAAATAAGATCTGGAGAGTGAAAATTTGTGGAGTGGAGTTACCTTAAATGCAACCTCTCTTCAAGTGTCTGCCATTCCCTCCAGGCTTTTTTCCTTTGATCAAAACCTTTTACTCTCTATTTGGTCCTGGGAATTAAACTGAAGGCTTTGCAAATGCTAAGCACATTCAGTACAAGTGAGATATACCCAGGCCCCCTCCACTTTTCCTCTGGCAAGCTCACATTCATTCCCAGGCTTTGTTCCAAGAATTCTCTAGGAAGGCATCTTGATATGGTAGTTTTGGTTAGGCCTCCCTCCCTTATGCAGTCTCTCTGCTATCAGTAGCATAGGATAATTAGGCATCTTTCTCCAGTACTGCAGGGTGGGAGGTAGGGATCACTATGGGTTATAGTCTAGCACTGAGTATTTGGGATATGGCTCTCTAAAACGAACTATAATCTTGGTAAGAAAGGAAGAGACAAATGTCCTGGCCACCCCAACCCCTTCGTAGCTGTTTCATTGGAATCTGCACACTATTTGTTCTATATTTCAATTATTTACCATTCCAGCAACTTGAGAGAGTGCATCTTCCCAGGAGGTATATATTAAAAGCCCTTTTTCATTTCTGACCATTGGCTCAGTAAGTCTCTGACGTTTTAATCCATCATAAGCAAATCTAGACAAAAGAAATCATATAATTTATAGAATCTTACTAAGGAGCAACTATAATTTTCAAATTTAAAGCCTGTAATAAATGTTATTCAAATAGAAGATTAGCTAAAGTACAAAATAATGAATACCTAAGCTAAGCATGGTGGCACAAGCCTAAAATCTCAGCTACTTGGGAGGCTGAGGCAGAAAGATTGAAAGCTCTGAGTCAGCCTGGGGAATTTAAGGAGAACCTATCTCAAAATAAAAAGTGAAGAAGGATGGCTGGGGATACAGCTAGTGGTAAAGCACTTGCCTAGCATGTTTGAGGAAGTGAAAAACTCAACAAGCCAATTTGAAATAACAGGAGAAAGCCCCACCAATAGAATGAATGAAATGGAAAACAGAATATCAACACTGGATGATAAAGTTGAAGAACTGGACTGTGTAAACAAAGATTATGAAAAATTTAAGAAATCACAAGAATGGAATATGCAGGAATTATGTGACAGTTGAAGAACTGGACTGTGTAAACAAAGATTATGAAAAATTAAATAACCCCCCCCCCACAGGAATAGAATATGCAGATGTGGGACAACATGAAAAGACGAAATCTACGCATCATAGGCATAGAGGAAGAAGAATTTCAGGTTAACGGTACTAACCAGATTTTAAACAGTTTTGTAGCAGAGAATTTCCCAAAATTAAGGAAAGACATCCCCATGCAAATACAAGAAGCACACAAAACACCAAATAGACAAGACCAGAAAAGAAACTCCCCACAACATATCATAATAAAAACACTAGCTGTACAGATGAAAGAGAGAATACTGAAAGCTACAAAAGAAAAACAAGAACTCACACATAAAGGAAAACCCATCAGGATTACAGCTGACTCATCAGCACAAACTATGAATGCCAGAAGAGCCTGGACCAAAGTATTCCTAGTTCTAAATGACCATAGATGCTAACCTAGACTACTTTACCAAGCAAAAATGTCTATTATAGTTGAAAGGGAAAGAAAAATCTTCCGTTAATAGGCTGAAAGAATATATGTCTACAAAACCAGCTCTTCAAAGAATATTTGAAGCAATACAAAGAACGGAGAAAAGAACAACTATACCCAAGGTGCAACAGAAAGAACCTAAATGAAGATATAACTGTAGAAACAAAAAATTAGACAAAGAATGCAAACAGTAATCAAAATGATGCCAATAATAACTTTAAATACGAATGGACTGAACTCCCCAGTCAAAAGACACAGGCTAACTGAATAAATTAAGAAACAAAATCCAGCCGAGCATGGTAGTACATGCCTTTAAACCTAGAACTCTGGAGACAGAGGCTGGTGTATCTCTGTGAACTGAAGGCCAGCCTGGTCTACCCAGCTGAGTTCTAGGCCAACTAAGGCTTACAGGGAGACCCCCTGTCTCAAAAAGAAAAAAATTCATCCTTTTGTGTCTGCAAGAAACCCATCTCACCTTCAAAGACAACACTACCTTAAGGTAAAAGGATGGAAAAGAAGAGACAATTACACGCAACTCACACTTTGAAACAAGCAGGGGTTGCAATTCTAATATCTGACAGAAAGGACTTTAAAGTAAAAGCAATCAGAAGAGATAAAAAGGGTCACTTCATTCTGATCTAGCGCACCCAAATTCATTAAAAACAACACTACAGGACTTGAAGACACAGATTAACCCTAACTTAGTAATAGTAGGGAACTTCAATACCCCATTGTCTCCATTAGACAGGTTAACCGGACAAAGAATAAACAGGGAGCCATCTGAATTAAACAATACCATACATCAACTGGACCTAATAGACATCTACTGAATGTTCCACCCAAGCACCAAAGAATACACTTTCTACTCAGCACCCATGGAATTTTCTCAAAAACTGACCACATACCGAGGCACAAAAAAAACTTCAACAAATACAAAAAAATTGAAATAATTCCATTCTATTAGACCACAACACAATAAAGCTTAAAATCAACAATGGAAGAAGCCCTAGTAACTATATGAACTCATAGAGATTAAACAACACACTCCTGAATGATGAGTGGGTCAAAGGAGAAATTAAGAAAGAAAGAAAAGTATTCCTGGAATTAAGCAAAAAGGACAATAAAACTTCTAGGATACTTTAAAAGCAATCCTAAGAGGGAAGTTTATAGCTCTAAATGCCTACATTAAAAAAATCAGAACGAATATAAATGAATGACTTAACATTGCAACTCAAGACTTTGGAAAGCCAAGAGCAAGTGAAACATAAGCCCAGCAGATGAGAAGAAATAACAGATGAGAAGAAATAACAAAAATCAGAGCAGAAATTAATGAAATAGAAACAAAGAAAACAATACAAAGAATTAATGAATCTAAAAGCTGGTTATTTGAAAAGCTAAACAAGATAGACAGACCCTTAGGCCAGTTAACCAAAAGAAAGAAAGAGCAAATCCAAATTAACAAAATCAGAGATGAAAGGGGAGATATCACAGACACCCCAAATATCCAGAACATTCTAATGGAATACTTTAAAAACCTATACTCATATTAACTTTGAAAACCTAAAAAAATAGTTTGATATCTAAAATCATGGGACCCATCAAAGCTAAATTAAGAAGAGATCAACAGACCTATAACATATAAGGAAATCAAAACAGTAATAAAAAAACCTCCCAACTAAAACAAGCACAGGCCCAGATGGATTTACAGCAGAATTCTACCAGATTTAAAGAAGACCTGCAACCAATACTATTTAAATTATTCAAAAAGATAGAAGTACAGGGAGAACTTCCAAATCCATTCTATGAAGCCAGCATGGCTTTAATACCCAAACTAGGTGAAGACACAACCAAAAAAGAAAACTACAGACCCATATCCTTAATGCAAACATCTCAACAAAATACTTGCATACAGACACACATCAAAAAGATCATCCACCATGATCAAGCAGGCCTTATTCCAGAGATGCTGGAATGGTTCAAAATTTGCAAGTCAATAAGCATCATAAATCATATAAATGGACTCAGTGACAAAAATCACATGGTCATCACAATAGATGCAGAAAAGGCCTTTGACAAAATTCAGCATGGATTCATGAAAACAGCTCTAAAGGAAATTGGACTGGAGGGAACATTCCTCAACATAATTAAAGCTATATACAACAAACCCACAGCCAACATCATTCTAAATGGAGAAAAACTGGAAGCATTCCCATTAAAATCAGGAACCAGACAAGGATGTCCACTATCTCCACTCCTTTTCAACATAGTGCTTAAAACTTTGGCTAGAGCAATAAGAAAACAGAAGGAAATTAAAGGAGCATTAATTGGAAAAGAAGAGGTCAAACTATCCCTTTTGGCAGATGATATACCTAAGAGATCCCAAAAATTCCACCAGAAAATTCCCAGAACTGATTGACACATTCAGTAAAGTGGCAGGTTACAAAATTAATCTACAAAAATCAGTAGCCTTTCTATACACCAATAACAAGCAATCAGAAAGAGAGTACAGGAAAACCCTCCCATTCACAATAGCCTCAAAAAATTTTTTTCCTCAGAATAAACCTAACCAAAAACATTAAAAATCTCTACAACAAAAATTTTTAATCTTTAAAGAAAGATTGAGAAAGACACCAGAAGGACTCCCATGCTCATGGATTGGAAGAATTAATATTGTGAAAATGACCATCTTAACCAAAAGCAATACATAGATTCAATGCAATCCCAATCAAAATTCACATGACATACTTCACAGACTTAGAAAAAAACATCTTCAAATGATTATGGAAGCACAAAAGACCCTGGATAGCCAAAGCAACCTTGAGCACAAAAAGCAACACTGGGGGGATTACTATATCAGATCTCAAACTATACTACAGAGCTATAGTCATAAAAACAGCATGGTACTGGTACAAAAACAGACACATAGATCAATGGAACATCACTGAAGATCCAAACCTGAGTACATGCAATTTCAGCCACCTGATATTTGACAAAGGTGCCAAGAACACGCAATGGAGGAAAGACAGCATCTTCAACAAATGGTGCTGGCAAAACTGGATCTCTACCTGTAGAAGAATGAAACTAGACCCTTATCTTTCACCTTGCACAAAAGTCAACTCCAAATGGATCAAAAACCTCAATGTGAAACTCAAAACTCTGAAACTCTTAGGAGAAAACATTGGCAATAACCTAAAAGACACAGGTGTAGGAAAGGACTTTCTAAATCGGACACCAGCTGCTCAGGAATTAGGTCAAGAATCAACAAATGGGATCTCATTAAACTAAAAAGCTTCTGTACAGCAAAAGAAACAATAAAGAAAGGGAAGCGAAAACACAAAGTGAGAAAAAATCTTCACCAGTGACACATCTGACAGAGGTTTAACATCCAAAATATACAAAGAACTCAAAAAACAAAGAATCAAGAAAACAAATGAGTTCTCAAAAGAAGAAATAAAGATGGCTAAGAAACATCTTTAAAAGTGTTGAACATTGTTAGTAATTAGGGAAATGCAAATTAAAATCACCTTAAGATTTCATCTTACCCTAGTCAGACTGGTTAAGCTCAAGAGAGCAAGTGGTATCAAATGCTGGTAAATATGTAGAGAAAGGGGAACGCTCATCCACTGCTGGTGGGATTGCAAACTCATGCAACCTTATGGAAAGCAGTGTGAAGAACTCTTAAAAATCTAAAAACGGCTGGGCGTGGTGGTATAGACCTTTAGTCCCAGCACTGGGAGGCTAAGACAGGCAGATCTCTGTGAGTTCAAGGCCAGCCTAGTCTACTTAGCGAGTTCCAGTCCAGCTGGAGCTACAGGGAGACACCGTCTCAAAAAGATCCCCTCCCCGCCAAAAAATCTAAAAATGAACCTACTATATGACCTGGTTATACCACTCCTTGGCATATACCCAAAGGATTCATCCTATGGCAGAGATAATTGTACAACCATGTTTATTGCTGTTCTTTTCACAATAGCTAAGAGATGGAAGCAACCTATGTGCCCCTCAACTGACGAGTGGTTAACAAAAATGTGATACATTTACACAATGGAGTTCTACTCAGTAGTAAAGACAGATGAAATAATAAAATTTGTAGGTAAATGGATAGATCTAGAAACTGTTATACTAAGTGAAGTAACACAGACTCAGAAAAACAAAAGATGTATGTTCTCCCTCATTTGTGGATCCCAGCATCAAATCCTTATGAGTGCATATCCTGATGTAACTGCAGGAACCAGGAAAATGGAGGGGAACCAGGGAGATAAAGGGAAAGAAGGAACCCAAGAGAGAATAGTAGGAGACAGGTGTTACTAATGGAGAAATGTGTAAAAAGGGGGTAGTTAAAAGTTTAAAAAAAAAAAAGAAAATCTACCACAAAAGCTTTTATATCAACTGTAAAAATTAAAACAGCCAATACCTGGTTTTGTCAGAGATCCATTCTTCGTTAATATCTTCATGCATTCGTGGCAAAATCCTCATCACCTCTCCAGTTCTTGTGCTAACCACAATGTTACTTCCAACTGCATCCATTACATCAATGGATTCTGTCTTTCTGAGAAGATAAACACATATTTAGCATGCCCATCTGAGTTTCTGTTACTTAGTTACCTGCCCCAAAACTATTTTTTTTTTTTTTTCGGTATTTTGAGACAGAATCTCATGTAGCCCAGGTTGGCCTCAAATCCACTATGTAACAAATGACCTTGAGGAGCTGGAGAGATGGCTCAGTGGTTAAGACCTGGGTTCAATTCCTAGTACCAAAATGGCAGCTAGCAACAGTCCATAACTCCAGCTCCAGGGGATCCAACACCCTCTTCTGACTTCTGTGGGCTTTGTATGCTATGGGTTCACTTACATACAAGCAGATAAAATAAAAATAGTAAATAAAATGTTTTTTTTGGGGGGGGTCTTTTTGAGACAGGGTCTCCCTATAGCCCCAGCTGGCCTGGATTCGCTATGGAGACCAGGCTGGCCTCGAACTCACAGAGATCCAAATAAAATGTTTTTTTTTTTTTAAAATGACCTTTTACTTCTGATCCTCCTGCCTCTTCCCAGGTGTTAGGATTACAGATATGTACCATCATACTTCACCTCCCTTTCTAAATTGATAAAAATAGAACTCAGAAAAATAGCAATTATAAAAAAGTACCCCCATATCTCAAACATATTATTCGACAGGCCAATTTGAAGGAGACACAACTAATTCTTGGTCGTGGGTGGTTAAAGACATCAACAAATCAACTACACCAGAAAGCAAATCAAAGCTGAACAAAATTGAGATAAAGAAAAAAAAGGAACTCCTAAGTATCATTTAGTCATTTGCACACCAATGTGAGAAGCTTTAATGCATAAAAAACTACTTTGTGCTGGGCATAGTGATGCACACCTTTAGTCCCATCACTTGGGGAGGCAGAGGCAGGGAGATCTCTATAAGATCAAGGCCAGCCTGGGATGGTCTACACAGTGAACTCCGGGTCAGTTGGGGTTACATAGTGAGTGAGTGAGACTCTGTCAAAAAAAACCAAACCAAACCAAAACAAAAAACTTGTTGAAAACTCAAAATTTTCTCTTAGAACACCCATGAGAAATGGCTCTCTGGTTAACAGCAGTAGTTGCTCTTGCAGAGGACATGGATTCAGTTCCCCACAACTGTCCCAAAACTCTATTTCCAGGGAATCTGGCATTACATTACACAGGTGCACTTATATTCATGCAGGCAGAACACTCATACAAATAAAATAAAAACAAAAACAAACAAACAAACAAACAAAAACTACTTTGTGGGGCTGGAGAAATGGTTCAGTAGTTAAGAGCACTTGCTGTTCTTATGCTGGGGGTGGTGGTGCATGCTTTTAGTCCCAGCACTGGGAGGCAGAGGCAGGTGGATCTCTGTAAGTTCAAGGCCAGCCTGGTCTACATAGTGAGTTCCAGGCCAGCTGGGGCTACAGGGAGACCCTGTCTCAAAAAGAAAAATGAGCACATGCTGTTCTTGCAGAGGATGACACCCTCATCTGGCTTCCTGAGGCCATCACACACACAGCACATATATACACACAAATAATAATATACACATAGGTAAATAGGAATTTTAAAGATTAATCTTCAAGGGCTGAGTGTGGCGGTGCATGCCTTTAATCTAGGCACTTGGGAGGCAGAGGCAGGCAGATCTCTGTGAGTTCAAGGCCAGCCTGGTCTACATAGTGAGTTCCAGGACAGCTGGGGCTACAGGGCGACCCTGTCAAAAAAAAAAAATCTTAAAAAAAAAAAAAAAAAAAAAAAGAAACTACAATTAATTTGTACAGGTTTCTCCTTCAATCTAACTACTTATCTTCCAATGAAGCATTTTTACAGAGCTGGGTAGATTCCTCAGTCAGTAAAGGACTTGCTGCACAAACATAAGATCCTGAGTTCAGATCCTCGGGAGGATAAATAAAAAGCTGAGCATGGCAGCACACATCTGTAATCCCAGTGCTAGGCAGGTGGAGACAGGAGGATCCCCAGGGTGGACTGGCCAGGGAGTCTAGCTGAATCAGTGAGTTCCAGGTTCAGTAAGCAATGGCATCTCAAAAAATAAGGCAGCAAGAAACTGAAGAAGACAACCTGACATCCACATGTGACCTCCTCATGCACACACACAAAATGTTAGTTAAAGCAAACAAATAAAAACTTAGCAGGCCAAAAACAATTACAATTTAGGAAGAAAATGACATGGAACATTTTATGAAAAATAGTGAATTTAAATGAAAAAACAGGGCTGGGAAGAAATCTCAGCAGGTTAAGAGTGCTTGCTAAGCAAACCTGATGACCTGAGTTCAATCTTAGAACCCATATAAAGAAGCAGATGAAGGGGTGTGCATCTCTAATTCCAGCATCCTATAAATGGAATGGAAACCAGAGGGAAGAGGACTGGCCAGAAACTTGCAGGACAGCTACTCCAGTGTACGCAGCACAGCAGATAAACAAGAAAGACCCTGTCACAACAAGACAGGAGGCAAGAACTGTCACCTTCACAAGTGCACAGTGGCATGCAGACACATACTAAATAGTAAAATTTTAAAACAAATAAACAGGGCTAGGGGCATGGCTCAGTCTGTAAAGCATTTACTTTATAAGGATCTGTGCTCTATTTACAGAACTCATGTAAAAATCTGGGTGTGGTAGCACATGCTTATAATCCCAGTGCTGGGGAGGCAGAAGAGAAAATCCTCAAGTTCAGTGGCCAGCCAAGCTAGACTAATTGGTGGATTCCAGGCCAAAGAGAGACCCTGTCTCAAAGGAGGTGGACAGTATTCCTGCAGATGACTCCAGAGGTTGTCCTCTGGCCTCCACACAAACTTGCACTCACATGCATGGGCACCTGCACACACATTTGCACACATATTCACACAAAAAGACACACACACATAAATTATATTAATTAAGAAAACAACAACCAAAAAACCAAGTTGGTCAAAAATTTAAAGATGAATACCTGGTTTCCCAGGGTCGGGCAGTAAAGGCATAAGGCTTAGAGGTTAGGGCACCTACAGGGCAGATGTCAATGATGTTCCCAGACAATTCAGACATGAACATTTTTTCAATGTATGTGCCAACTTGCATCTCATTCCCTCTGCCTGTTGTTCCCAAATCATCTACTCCAGCAATCTCACTTGCAAACCTAGAAGATAATAATTTGTCATCAAACTGTTGAGTCCAGCAAAATTATATCCTTGTCTATTCATAATCACAAAGAGAATGATTTATTTAAAATACTAAAAAGGCACTAGTATATTTTTAATAAGCATAGTCCCCAAATAAAAAATAATTCAATAAACGTTTGCCTTTAATATAACACATAAACAGAAAATTGTATAAATCATATGTATACAGTTCAGTAACTTATCAATGATTACATAGATTTTAATTTTTATCTATTTTTTATATTTTATTTATTATTTTTATTTTATGTGTACAAGTATTATGCCTGCATGTAAGTAAGTGCACCCATGTTGTGCAGTGCCCTCAGAGGACAGAAGAGGCTGTCAGATCCCTTGTGACTAGAGTTACGGACAGTTGTTAGCTGCCATGTGGGTGCTGGGATTCGAACCCGGGTCTTCTGCAAGAATAGTCAGTGTTCATAACTACTGAGCCATCTCTCCAGTACCTAGATTTAAAATTTTTAAGTCCAACTGAAATCGGTATTTATCAGCTTATGGGAAAAATATTTAAGCAAACATAAACCCAACCTTCTCCCACTAAACAAAAGTATTGTTATTCTACAAAAGTTTGTGAATGTTAAGTAAATATGCAACATTCCAGAAGAGAGAAACACATTACCTGATGCACCGGGTACACTGTATGCATCTAGTCATGATGGTCTTTACCAATGGCCCAATGTTCTTGTCTTCTACAGCACGTTTCCCCTCTAGAAATCGGCTCCTGTCACTTCCAAACATCATGGACTGGTCCTTAAGTAGATTATGAGACAGTCAATCTAATGCTGCTAATGAAATTAAAATGAGTCAATCAAAAAGACTTTTAGAAATATACTAGATACCTGAAGATCACATTCACCTCCCTGGTCACAAATAGGACAGTCCAAAGGGTGATTTGCTAATAAGAATTCCATCACACCTTCTCTGCATGAAAAAGTAAATATATAAAGCGACATAAAAAGCTACCACTCACAACTGGTTTACCAGAAGTTATTTAAATAACCTTCATAGATCTGCCTCCTTAGCATAGTGGGCAACGTGTCAGACTCATAAATAATCTTAACATATATTTTCTTATACATTAGCATTAATTTTACATTTAGATATGCCAACATACTGTCCTTCAGATAGCATTAAATACATATTTTGAAAATGTTTTCTGTTGGGGCTGGAGACATGGTTCAATGGTTAAGAGCACTGGCCATTCCTGCAGAGGACCTGGGTTTGATTCCCAGTACCCACATGGCGGCTAACAATTGTCTGTAACTTCAGTTCCAGGGATCCAATGCCCTCTTCTGACCTTCAAGGGCACTGTATGACACAGGTGCACCTACCTACATACAGGCAATATACTCATACATATCAAAATTTAACAATAATAATTTTTTTAAAAAAGCCCTGGGTGAGCCAGGTGTAGTGGCGCACTCCTTTAATCTCAGCACTTGGGAAGCAGAGGCAAGTGGATCTCTGTGAATTCAAGGCCCACCTGGTCTGCATAGTGAGTTCTAGGCCATCTGGGGCTACAGGGAGACCTGTCTCAATAAGACAAAAAAAAAAAAGTCCTGGCTGACGTGACCTAGAACTTGCTACGTAAACCAGGTCAGCCTCAAACTCAGAGATCTGCCTGCCTCTGCTAGGATTCCAGGTGTCTTCCACCATACCAGGCTCCACAATTTGTAAACGTTAAGAGTCTAAATAAAATACTACAGACCCTAGGAAATTACGACTTTCGAGGATTGTTTACTTGTATTTATTTATTTACTTATTTATTCATTGATTCGTTCATTCATTCATTTTGAGCTGGCTTCCAACTCACTATGTAACTAAGGATGACCTTGCATTTCTGATCCTCCTGACTGTACCTTCCAAGTGCTAGGATTACTGGCACATGCCATCATCAGCTTTTGTTTTCTTTTTAGTTTTATTTTGGAGACAGGATTTTGCTATATAGCTCAAGACTGGCCCTGAACACTTGATTTTCTTGTCTCAACCTCCCAAGTGCTGAGATGGTAGGCATGTACTACCCTGAACAACAGGATCTACCCGTAGTCCCAAGTGGCCTGGAACTCACTCTATAGACCATGCTGGTCTCAATTTCACAGAGATCCAACTGCCTCTACTTCCTGAGTACTGGGATTAAAGGTATATACCACTGTACCCTGCTCATGCACAGTTTTTAAATTTATGGCTTTTGGGGCTAGAGAGATGACTGAGAGGTTAAGAGCACTTGCTATTCTTTCAGAGGATCTGGCTTCAATTCACAACACCCACATGGCAGCTCTGCTGCCCTCTTCTAGCCTTTGCAGGCACTACACATATACAAGCAAACATACTAGCAATTGAAACACTTGTACAAATAAAAATAAATCATCATTAAAAAAATTATAACTTTCAACAATATAGAATTATCAAAACCTGCTGTGGGCTGGGATACAGCTCAATTGGAGAATGCTTATCTTGCATGCATAAAGCCCTGGACTTGATCCCCAGCACTGCATACAATCAGGCATGGTGGCATATACTTATAACTTAGGTATTCAGAAAATAGAGGCAGGAGGAACAGAAGTTCAAGGTTATCTTCAGCTACACAATGAGTTTGAATCCAGCCTAGGCTACATGAGACTGTCTCCCACAATAAAATTTTTTAGAGTTGCTGATAGGGTCTCAGAAAATATTCACATTAATTCAAAATGAAAACAAAGTTGAAATTATAGCACTGTAAAGTATTTATATATAATAGTAAGCACACGGTCCCAGGTTTGAGTCACGAGGCTCACATACAAACATATTGATTACTAGGATCACTGAAGCAAGACAGCTCAGCTCAGTAAGTCCTGGACACACTATCCATCAAAACCTGAGCAAAGTACAAAACCAAAGACTTTTAATGCTGTTCCTATTCTAGGCTGCATATTATTAAAGCCCTAAGCTAACCTCTACTGGATTGCACTCATTTTTGCTGCTCCTAATAGCAAAGCACATTGACTTCTTCAGAGTTTCATACTAAATTCCTCATCTATTGGTAGGTTTAAATACCACCCTAAGAAATCTTCTGCATTAATTACAACAAAGTACCTGGCTTTCTTAGTTTTTTCCGAGTTTGTCAGAATATTCCAGCCCTTCATTACTGGCATAGCACAAGCAGCTACAACCTGGAATTTCAATGAAAAAAAATCTACATTTGTATATATTTGTAATTATAAGCAACCCTACATACAAAATACTAAAGAAAACATTATACATTTAAAAACAAGCAAAATCCTGGAATACACAAGTTCAAGGCTAGCCTAGGATCTAACTCAGGAATATAAAATAAAAAACAGGCAAAGATTATTTTTAAAAGAGAATTTTTTGTTTTCAGCTGGGTGTAGTGGCATGTGCCTATAATCCCACAACTCTGGAGGCAGAGGCAAGAGGATTGCTACAAGTCTGGAGCCAGCCTATCTAGCCAGGTCTGTTTTCTGTCAAGACCCCAACTAAAAAAACAAATACTTTTTCAAGTTTTTATAACCATAACAGTATAATTTGGCCCTTAATGCTAATCTTAAAAACAAATAAAAAATTGCTGTGGCTTGTCCCCAGGGTCATGTGCTGGTAGCTTGGTCTCCAATCTATAGGGGCGCGTCAGAAGTGCTGTCTAGTGGGAGGTGACTGGGGTATGACAGATTAATACTGGTTTCTTGGGGAATAGTAGAGGCACAGATTAGTTCCCATGAGAAGTAGTCACTGGAAAAGAATGAGAGCAGTCCCTACTCAGTCTCTTGCTTCCTCTCCTGATATATTACGAAGCAACCAGAGGTCCTTACCAAAGGCTAGCCAAATGTAGTTTCCTGAATTTGGATTTTTAGTTCCCCAAACTGTGAGCTAAATAAACTTCTTTATTTTATAAAGTACCAAATCTTGGGTATTTTGCTATAGCAACACAAAGAAATTAAACAGCCCAGCAAGGTGGCACACAGCTGTAATTCCAAGACTTGGGAGGCAGGGAGGCAGGGGCAGGTAAATTTCTGTGAGTTCAAGGACAGCCTGATCGACACAGAGAATTCCAGGCCAGCTCAGACTACGTAGTGAGACCCTATCACAAAAAAAAAAAAAAAAAAAGGAAAGAAAAGAAATTAAAACATCCTGTTCCTTAAGTATATTCTAAGAGTCAACGGATTTTTTTATTCTGCTCTGAAATAGACTGCCATTTTTTTGTGCTTTCAAAAATCAAGCATGGTCAGTCAGGCAGGAAGGCTCACTGGGTAAAGGTACTTGCTGCACAAACCTGACAATCTAAGCTTGATCTTCAGAACCCACATAAAGGTGGAAGGAGAGACTTGATTCCAAGTTGGTCTTAGACTCCATATGTGTACCATGGCATGCACATCCAAACACATCATGTACACATACACAATAATAATAAAATCTAAAACCAAACTAAAACAACAAAACCAAGCATGGTAGCCAATGTGCCTAATAGGCAGGAGGATCAAGAGTTCAAATCTAGCCAGGCATGGTGACACACGCCTTTAATTTCAGCACTTGGGAGGCGGATCTCTGTGAGTTCAAGGCCAGCCTGGTCTACATAGCGAGTTCCAGGTCAGCTGGGGCTACAGGGAGACCCTGTCACAAAAAAAAAAAAGGAAGAGTTCAAATCTAGGCCGGGCATGGTGGCACACACCTTTAATCCCAGTACATGGGAGGCAGAGGCAGGCAGATCTCTGTCAAGTTCTAAATCAGCTAGGGCTACAGGGAGAGATACTTGCTACCAAGCTTGAAAGACCCAATCAATCCCCAGGACCTACATGGTGGAAGGAGAAAACCAGCTCCCACAAGTTGTCCTCTACCTACACAAGCACATGCACATATATGCACATACACAAAATAAATAATGTAATTAAAAAAAATTTTTTTTTGGTCTTTTTGAGACAGGGTCTCCCTGTAGCCCTAGCTGTCCTGGAACTCACTATGTAGACCAGGCTGGCCTTGAACTCACAGAGATATGCCTGTCTCTGCCTCCCAAGTGCTGGGATCAAAGGTGTGCACCACCACGCCTGGCTGTAATTTCAAAACTTTTTAAAAATGAAACCAAGGGCCAGTGAGATGGCTCAGTGAGTAAGGGCAAGCCTGGTAACCTTAGAGTTTCATCCCTGGGACCCATACTGACAAAAGAATGAACCAGTCTCCCACAAATTATCCTGAGACCTCCATGCATACCTTATAGCACACACCCTATACCCACTAAATAAATATTCTTTTAGTTAAACAAACAAACAAACAAAAATACAAAGGAAAAAAAAGCTCCAAGGCATAGGGAGATAGCTCAATCAGTAAAGTGCTTCCCATGGAAGCATGAAGACCTGAGTCTAATCCCTAAACCCATGTAAAAAGTTGGCCATGGTAGTGCATGCTTGTGATCTCAGCATTAAGGAGGCAAAGACATATTCCTGAGGCTTGTCAGCTTAGCCTAATTGGTGAATTCCAGGCCAGTGAGAGACCCTGTCTCAAAAAAAACCCAAGATAATAGGGAGGCAGAGGCAGACAGATCTCTATGAGCTCAAGGCTAGCCTGGTATACATAGTGAGTTCCAGGCCACCTGGGGCTACAGGGAAACCCTGTCTTAAAACACACACACACACACACACACACACACACACACACACGCACACGCACACGCAGACACACACACACTCATACATATACATAAAAACTTTGTTTTCACTTGTAGGCATACTGAGTTATAGTTATATACACCCAAATACAATTAACTACTGAAAGTGAACAAGGTCACTACATGCCTCACTCCTCTGTTGTGAAAGTGGCACTATGTAAGTACTTCTTTTCTATATGCTGCTAGGCAACTTCACACACTGGCTGAGTCTTATGGTCATTTGAGGCACTAACAGCTTAAGAAAGCACCTTTATTCCTGAGTTTGGGAAGGAAGGGAGGGAGGGAGGGAGGGAGGAAGAGTGAGAAGGCTTTACCCTACTGAGAAAGAAATCATTTTTAATTTCAAGACGTCACAGGGCATTTATATTTATACAATAGTTCCTTCAACATATTTCCAGTTTTGAAATGAATCAACTACACATGAAAAGCATTGAGTTTATAGGCTCCCCTTTACTGCAGTAATGATTTAAAAAAAAAATTGCTTCAGGATGTAGTCTTCTACCTTCTATAGCAGGGTAAGGGATTTTAGCTATCGAGTACCTTAGGAGCTTTCTCAATTTCAACCAGGCACATTCTGCAATTTCCAGCAACAGACAACCTTTCATGATAACAGAATCGAGGGATCTGCATGCCAACTTTCTCACAAGCCTAGAAGAAAAAAAAAAAAAAACTTTTTTTTGCATTAGAATAACTTCACTACTGTTCTTGCTAAAACATAAAGGGGGGAGGTCTGTTATTACTCATCCCTAAATATCTCTATCTTCATCTACTCTTACTTAAAGAGATTTTGTTCCCTCTTTGCTCTTGATTCCGAAGTCTGTAGCTGCCTCAAAGGACATAAGAATCTTCAAAATGCCTTCATTGCATGTGAATAAAGCATCTCCATGCTGCGGTATAGGCTTTTCCCCCCACATCTCCTTTGAACCACTGTCCACAAGGGGCTTCCCTGTCAAACTGTCCCAGTGGCTTTATACCTGAACTTCTTCTTTGCTTGGCTCCTTCTTTGAGTCAAGAGACTTCAACTCATATCTTCTAGCTGGTTACAATCTAGTTTGATTTTTTTTTAAATTTTTATTTTATATGTATGAGTGTATTGCTTGCATGTAGGTAGGTGTACCCATGTGGTACAATGCCCGTGGATGTGAGAAGAGAGCGTCAGAGCCCCTGGAACTGGAAGTAAGAATGATTGTTAGCTGCCATGTGGGTGCTGGGAACCAAACCCAAGTCTTCTGCAAGAGCAGCCAGTGCTCTTAACCACCTAACCATCTCTCCAGCCCCAATCCATTTTTTAAAAAAAAAATTAAAAATATTCATTAGCTGGGCATGGTGGCGCATGCCTTTAATCCCAGCCCTCGGGAGGCAAAGGCAGGTGGATCTCTGTGAATTCAAGGCCAGGCTGGTCCACATAGTGAGTTCCAGGCTGGCTGGAGCTACAGGGAAACCCTGTCTCAAAAAAACCAATATATATACATACATATACATATATATAATATATATACACAATTTTTATTGCCTGTGTGTATAAGTGCACCTGTGTTGTGCAATGCCCACATATGTCAGAAGAGGACCTTGGATCCCCTGGAACTGTAGTTACAGATGGTTGTTAGCTGTAGTGCTCTTAACCACTGAGCATATCTCCAGCCTCTCTAGTTCAATTTTTTTGTACCATATACCCAAGCCAGTATTCACATACTCTGGCCAAATATTTTCCCATTGTCTATTTGCCAAGTAAAAGAAATCCAGTTCTATCTGTAACTTCCTCCTTGTAGCCTATAAACATGTTCAAATATACTCTACAGTTCTTCAATCTTTGGCTCTCCTTCAAAAGTAATCTTATAATTTCCAATGTTTTAGCTGTTGCATAACAACATATTAAGTTTTTGTTGTTATCATTGTTTTGAGATAGGGTCTCACTATGTAGATCTAGTTGGCCTAGTACTCACAATATAGACCAGACTGACCTCAAACTCAAGAGATCTGCCTGCCTCTGCCTCCTAAGTCCTGGAATTAAAGGCATGCACCACCGTGCCCAGCTGTGTTAAGTTTTTACAGTGCTAAATACAGCAGGCTTAAAATTGAACAAGACAGACATCATATCAGCCTTCATACTAGTTCACATTCCACATGACTACATGTAAACTTTTAGCAGTAGCCCTGACAGTTCAAGTTCACATCTCCAAGTTCCAGACTTAAACAGGACTTTCATATATATATATTTCTACAGAACAACCTATTTCCACCTCTATCTATATCCCCAAATAAATTGAAAAGAAAAACAAACAAATAAACAAACAAGAATCTCCAAATTTTCCTTTTCTCCATCATTCCCAAAGGCTGATTATCTAGGGGTCTTACTAATCCCTGAACACACATTTCTTCCCTTTGCTACTATTTTAAGTCCCTCCCCCACCCTCCCATTCCACAAATACAAGCTACCCTTATCTTACTTCAGCCCTCCCTCCCTCCCTCCCTCCCTCCTTTTCTTTGCTATTTTCTCCTAAAGTCACTGGCACAATATTTAGAAGTCACCGAAGTATCAGATAACTCAAACAGCAAGCTCTTTCAACAGGCAGCTGTTGACCATCCCTTCTTAAGGCACTTGATTTTCAGGCATCTCAGCTTCTAACATCTTATGTTTTATCAGCCAAACTGAAGCTTCCTAATCACAACAAGTTATCTGCTTTAGCCTTTCCATTGGATATATATGTTCTCCCTATTCACATATAAACAGACCTACTGAACCATTAAACCTTCTCAGGGATCACCTGAAATGCTTCTGTCTGCCATCTTTCCATCATCTCCTACTCAGGCCAAAACATCTTCCATTGGACCTTGAAAATGCCTTTGCTAATATTTAGTATTTACACATCTATCCATGCCCGGCATAGTCTAGAAATATCTGCTGAAACAAACATTTAGTTCTGTGAAAATCTACAGATGTAACGAAGCATCACATCTCTATGACCAAATATGTTATTTCTGGAGAAATTAAAAATTTAGGCATGAATTTAAGAACATACTACCCTTCACTTACCTCTTTTGTAGGACACATTCCTAGAAATATTATTAAAAACAGAAAGGTATATAAAAATGAGACCTAAAATAAACAGGCTATTTTTTTACAAGCTTAATCACAGTGACTATGGTAAGCTAAATTACTATTATTCACCAAGAATGCCAAGAATATATAACTCACTTTGAAATATCAAGATCGAAAAAATAAACTGTTTCCATAATTTTGATATATGGATTATTTTCAAACTAGACAATATAAAGAAACAAACTGGTCATTGTTTGTTTTTTTTTAAACAACAATCAGAGAACACATACAGTAACAAAAATAATAAAATAATTAGAACATATGCCTACTTGTAGGACAGTAGTTCCTGGTTCCACCATGACAGACTGACCATCAACAAATACTTCAATCAAGTTGCTTGCTGCTGTGCCAGTTGTTCGGACTGACCATCAAAACAGTAAGAGAAAAAACAAAAAAACAAAGGTGAATTATAGCAGAGGCTAATGGATTAACTACAATAAAAAATTTCATTTTACCCTATTCCTTTTTTTTCTAGAGGTAAGCTTTTAAAAATATCAAATTAGGCCAGGCATGGTGGGGCTCATCTTTAATCCCAGCATTTGGGAGGCAGAGGCAGGCAGATCTTTGTGAGTTCGAGGCCAGCCTGGTCTACATAGTGAGTTCCAGGACAGCTGGGGCTACAGGGAGACCCTTTCTGACTATTAAACATATCATTGGGGGCTGGAGAGATGGCTCAGCAGTTAAGAGCCCTGGCTGCTCTTGCAGAGGACCTGGGTTTGATTCTCAGCAACCACAAGGCAGCTAACAACCATCTGTAACTCCAGTTCCAAGGGATCCAGTGCCTTCTTCTGACCTCCACAGGCACTGCCACAACATGGGTGTACATATGTACATGTAGGCATAACACTCATACACATTAAATAAAAAGAATTAAATCCCAGCACTTGGGAGGCAGAGGCAGGTGGCTCTCTGTGAATTCGCGGCCAGCGTGGTCTACATAGTGAGTTTCAGACCAGCTGGGGCTACAGGAAAACCCTGTTTCAAAGACAAAAAAAAAAAAAAAAAAAAAAAAAATAGAGCCAGTTTTAATAGTAGTTTAAAGAGACTTTAATATCATTTTAAAAAAATTGGGGATGGAAAGAGGGCTCAGTGTTTAAAAGCACTGATTGCTCCTGCAGAAGATCCAGGTTCAATTCCCAGCACCTACATGGTGGGTAACAACCATGTAACCTGTAACTCAATTTCTGGGGAAATCCAACACCTTCTTCTGATCTCCATGGGCATTGTGCAACATGAGTGCACTTATACACATGCAGGCAATAACTCAAAACACATAAAATAAAAATAATAAAATTTTTAGAAATTTATTTATGTGTACGTGTGAGTGTATATATGTGCGCTGTGTGTGTGAAAGTGGTTGTGAACTATCATGTGGATGTTGGAAACTGAACTCGAGGCAAGTGCTCTTAACTGCTGAGTCATCGCTCCAGTTGGAATACCACTTTTTGTTTCTAAATTTAATTTTGACTTTTAGAAATTTTAATTTATTTTTATTTTACGTGTATGAGTGTTATACCTACATATGTATAAGTGCAACTGTGTTGTGCAGTGCCAGTGAAGGACAAGAGGGCTTTGGATTCCCTGGAACTAGAGCTAGACAGTTGTTAGCTGACACATGGGTACTGGGATTTGAAAATGGGTCTTCTGTAAGAGCAGCCAGTGCTCTTAACCACTGAGTTACCTCTCCAGTCCCTTATTTTCTATTTTATGTGTATGAGTGTAAATGTACCCATGCATGCAATGTCCTTGGAGGCCAAAGGAGGCATCGGATCTCCCTGGGTTATACTGTAGAGTGAGAGAAAACAAAAACCACACCCAATTACAAACATTTTGATACTGTTTTATGGTTTCAAAATATTTCATAAGCATCATTTTATAGATTATTGTTAGCTGCCATGTGGGTCCTCAAAACCAATCCCAAGTCCTCTGCAAGAGCAGCCAGTACTCTGAACTTGTAGACCAGGTTGGCCTCAATTTCACAGAGATCTACTTTCTCCAGAGTATAGGGATTAAAGGCATGCGTCACCATGCCCAGCTTTAATACCACTCTTAAAAAACAATAAGATCATTGTTTTTATTTTGGAATTGAACACAGTTCCTAATATTTTCTATTATATGATGAACTTTTTCATTTATTGTTTTTATTTTATGTGTTTGAGTGCATTGCCAACATGTATATAAGTGTACTCATGTCCTGCAGCACCCATGGAGGTCAGAAGAGGGAGTTGGATCTCCTGGAACTGGAGTTACAGATGGTTATTAGCTGCCATGTGGGTGCTGGGAACTGAACCTGGGTCCACTACTAGAGAAGCCAGTACTCTTAACCACTGAGCCATCTCTCCAGGCCCCTATGTGATGATTTTTGTAAACTAAAGAAGGTAAAGTTTTATTCTGAAAATTATTCTGAAAATTGGATTCTGTTTCTACATTTATATAAAATAAATAAACTATGGGTTCGGAGTTTCTGAAGAAATATTTACTAGACCATGGAAGTTACAAAGATAAAGTTCCTCATGAATATAAAAACAAAAACTTACCATATCCTTTAGGAGACTTAGAAATGCCTATTAAGGCCCTTTTAACAGGTATCCTTAACATGTTTCCTAAAGATAAAACAAAAAAATGGGTTATATTGTAAAGTGAGAGAAAACAAAAACCACACCCAATTTTAAACATTTTGGTATCATTTTATGTTCAAAATATTTCATAAACATTATTTTACAGAATATTCACAAGTCCTGATGTTTGTCCTCAAATTCTACATATCATACTTGGTCTAGAGACATTAGCTAATGCAATGGCAAGTAGCTAAGATGGAGTAGTTAATATATAGTGACCGTCATTGTTTTGTTTTGCAGACAGGGTCTCATATAGGTAGGCAAGTACTGTATCAACCTGAGCTATGTCCCCAGCCCCCAATTCTGGCTTTGCAATGCAATGTAAAGGTGAGGACTGGGGATATAGCTCAGCTGGTAGAGTACCTGCCTAGCATGTAGGAAGTCCTGGGTTCCAACTTCAACATAGCATAAACTGGGTGCAGTGGCACATGCCTATATTCCTAGCACCCAGGAGAATGGGAAATTCAAGGTCATCTGCTACAAAGGAGGTTTGAGGTTAGGCTGGGATACAGACAACCCTATCTAAAAAGAAAAAAGGAAAAGAAATGAGACTATAGTAAAATAAACTGAAAAAATAACCATACTTATCAATAATAGCTACATAAAAAAAATGCCTTTCTTAGCTGTATGCATCTTTTTTTTTTTTAGGCAGAATCTTGCTATATAACCTTGGCTGATCTTGAGGTGATCCTCCTGCCTCAGCTTCCTGAGTGCCACCATACTTGGCTCCAGTATGCATTCTGATTATGTATGTATTATAAATGATATTCTGAGATAGCTCACAAGCCAAAAACCTTTGCTATGTCTTGAGAGTCATTTTCCTGTTCTGAGTGGTATGTTTATCTCATAGATTTATAATTATCTGCTTATATGCTTTTATCCTGAATGTATTATGAATGCAGGGAATCGCTTTACTTTCAGTACCTATCCCTAAGAGCTGGTATAAAATAAGCTTTAAAACAATGGTTATCAGCCCGGCATGGGAGGCAGAGACAAGCCAGCCGTGTCTACATAGTGAGTTCCAGGCCAGCTGTGACTACAGGGAGACCCTGGATCACATAACAAGTTCCAGGTTAGCTATGGCTACAAAAAAGACCAAAAAAAAAAAACCAAAAAAAACCTCTCCATTGGATCTGGTGTTACAGGCCTGTAATCCCAGGTACTTGGAACACTAAGGTGGCAGGGTCTAAAGTTCAAAGCCTGCCTGGACTTTAAGTGAGTTCAATGCCAGCCCCAGCAATTTATGAGACTCTATCTCAAAAACAGAAGGCAAAATGAGGGCTGGATATGTATCTCAATGGTACAACACGTAGCCTGCATTCCGGAGGCTCTAGGTTCAATTTCTAGCACTACTAAAACAAAAGAAAACAAAATTTTTAAAATAAAACAGTGATTCTCAGCTGGGAGTTTTTTTTTTTCCCTTGGGAGTCAAGGAGTTATCAGCAATATCTGGAGACATTGTTCACAATGGGGTTGGGGAAGGAGTGTGCTGGCATGCACAACATCCTACAATGCCAGAAGTATCCAAAGTGCTTAAGTCAAAAACAGTGGTCTAGGGGCTGGAGAGATGGCTTAGTGGTTAAGAGCACTGACTGCTTTTCCAGAGGACCCAGGTTCGATTCCCAGCACCCACATGGCGGCTACAAACCGTTCTTAATTCCAGTACCAGGAGAATCCGAAGCCCTCTTCTGACCTCCACAGCATTGCATGACACAGGTGCACTCACATACATGCAGGCAATACACTCATACACATAAAATTAAAAAAAAATTTTTAATTAAAAAACAAACAAACAAACAGTGGTCTAAAGGGTTAACGACTAGAGGCTGGGAAGCTGAGGTAAATTAGACCATAAATCCCAGGTCATCCTAGACTATATAGCAAGATGCTTTCATAAAATTTTTTAACTTTATAAAATAAAATACATTTGTAAAATAAAATAATCCCATTACTTGGGAGGCAGAAGTTGGTAAATCTCTGTGAACTCAAGGCCAGTCTGGTCTACATAGCAAGTTCTAGGCCAGCCAATGAGACCCTGTCTCAAAAATGAACAAATAAAATGTTTGATGATGCACATAAGCATTACCAGTTAAACTGAGACACACAGGCAAACAGAAGTTATCTGAACATGTGCACTCACATGATCAAGTATGGACTTTTTGTCTGATCCTGTGAGAATATGAGCTAAGTAAGCATCTAAAACTATAATGTTTCTTTTGAAAAAAATTTAATGTTTTTTTGATGACAGGGTCTCATGTAGCTCAGGCTGGCCTCAAACTTCTGGTCCTCCTGCCTTTATCTCCAAACTGCTAGTTACAGGTGTATGCCATGATACCCAACTTTTTTTCTTTTAAAACTTTAGAAGTTATTAGGAAGGAAAAGTATGTGATTAGAATGTATCAATAGTAAAAAACTTTCAATACTGCTAGCAGTACTAAGTGCACAGTGCATAGGACATAGTATATATATGATTCGGGTCAAGTTCAAGGCCAAGCCTGGGTTACACAGTGAGTTTGAGGTCAGCATAGGTTATATAGTGAGACCATATTTTTTTAGATTATTTTATTTTATGTGTATGAGTGTATTGCTTGCATGTATGTAAGTGCACCCATGTCCAGCAATGCCACGGAGGCCAGAAGAGGGTATCGGGTCCCCTGGAAATGGGAGTTACAGATAGTTGTTAGCCACGATTTGGGTACTGGGAATTAAACCCAGGTCCTCTGCAAGAGCAGCCAATGCTTTTAACTGCTGAGCCATCTCTTCAGTCCCCATATTTTTTAAAAAAGAGAGAGAAAAAAAAGACAGTGTGAGCACTAAATTCTGTAGTTATCATAGATGATGACTTACAATAGGAAATCTCATTAATTCAGATTTCATTTTATTTAATTCCTTACTGACATTAATTTACAATTTCCCATACTGAATTTGGAGACACCAAGTCTCTTATCTACTAGTACTTTTTGGTAACTAAGTTACTGGTCCATTCTCTGTAGAGCAGGAAGAAAGCAGTATTTCCTGGTGCAGATATTACTAACTAAGAGCTCAGTAACTGCCAGTGGAAGTTGAATTTCATTTATTCAGTACTGGCCACCGACAATCAGTTGTCTTCTTCCATTGTGCTCTTTTTTAAAAAAAAGTTTGTGTGTATGAACGTTTTCCCTACATGTGTATGTAAGTGTACCACAGTGCATGCAATGTACACAGAGGCCAGAAGAAGGGCTGCAGATCCTCTGGAACTGGAGCTACAGAAGGTTGTTAGCCACCAATGTGGGTGCTGGGAACCGAACCTGGGTCCTCTGCAACAGATTAATTCCTAAGCCACCTCTCCTGCCCTCTCCCCATTGTGCTCCTTTACTACCAGCACACACTGTGTATATATTTAATTATTCTGCTTTCTAAACTTGGGTTGAGTATGTAGCTTAGTGGTAGATCATTTCAGTAGAATCTGCATTGGTCCTGAGCCATATCCCAAGCAAAGGGAGAAAAAATTCACAATGTTAAACTGCAAGTTGGTAATCAATTTTAGTACCTACTAGACAGTAAGTTGAGAATTTAGTCATTTTCCTTTCCTGAAGATCTAGCACAGTGCCTTTTTAAAAACAAGTCACCAAATAATCTTACCACTAAGTTCCAGAGTAAGTAGCACTTGTCCCATTAAAAACTATTGATGAAGCCAGGTAGGTGTGGTAGTCGGTTCAGGCCTGTAATACAAGCACTGAGAAAAATGAAGCAAGAAGAGCTAAGTTTGAAGCCAACATGGGCTACCCTATCATATTAAAAAAAAAGAAAAGAAAAAACAGCAACTGGGTGTAGTGGCTCACTCTTGTAATCCTAGCACTTAGGAGGCTAAGGCAGGAGGACTGAGTTTAAAGCCACCATGAGCTTCATAGTGAGTGCCAGGCCACTCTGGGCTACAGTATGAGACTCTGTCTAAAAACCAAAACCAAACCAAACAATACTGATGTTTATATAAAAGAAAATCTGAATTGGCTCAAAGCACCAACATACTAAAAGTCAACAATGAACAGGCTCAGTCATAGAGGGCCTGTCCTCGCACACATGAGGCCTTGGTTTCATTTGCAGCATTTCAGGGAAAAAAAACAACCATCAGTAATTTATATTTCATACTGACATATTGTCTCTGATACAACAGTAGTTTCACTTACAAAATAAAAATTGTCTTAGTTGGCCGGGTATGGTGATGCACGTCTTTAATCCCAGTATCTGGGAGGCAGAGGTAGGCGGATCTCTGTGAGTTCGAGGCCAGCCTGGTCTACATACCGAGTTCCAGGACAGCAAGGGCTACAGGGAGACCCTGTTTCAAAGAGACCAAAAGAAAAAAAAAAAAAAAATTGTCTTATTTTAGGCAGGAAATGAAAAAACCAGACTATGTTGACCATCCAGCCTCAAATGCAATACTGCATAGCTCCAGCTAAGAAATAAATTTATGTGTCCGGTATGGTAGCACATGTGTATATAACTAGCACTGTGAAAGCTAAGACAGGAGGATTCAGGCAACTTCAAAGCCAACCTGGGATACAGAATGAGATTAAAGTCAGTTTGGATTATATAGTGAGATCTTAAAAAAAAAAAAAAAAGAAAGAAAGAAACATCTGCAGCATCACTCGTGTCTTGTTTGTTTTGTTGTTGTTTGGTGGGGTCTCATGTATCTCAGACTAGGATTATAGGCATACACCATGTCCAGATTAGTATGTGGGCATTACTTACTAATTTATTTTGTGCATGCTAGCACATGTGCACGAGAGGACAACTTTCAGGAGTCAGTTCTCTCTTTCCATGTGGGTCCAGGGGATCAAACTCACACTGTCAGATTTGGCAGCCATTTAGCCAGCCTTGGTATGTGTTTTAAACATATTTTCAGGTAGCAATAGAAATATGGTGGGGACGTAGCTCAGTTGGTAGAGTCCTTAATGTATCATATAGAAATCCCTGGGTTCTACCCCAGCATCATACCAGGCACTGGGCATGGTGGTATAGGTCTGTAATCAAATCATTTGGGTAAGTGGAGACAGGAGGGTCAGAAGTTCAAGATCACCCCCCTCCCCCATTATATATTGAGTTTGAGGCCAAACTGAGATACATAAGACCCTGTTCTCAAAAAATAAATAAAAGAACAATTACAGCCATCCCATAAGAGGCTTAACTCCAGAGTATGTGGGTAAAGAGAACATGATTTGATGAACAATGATCAAACAAAGGACCAAAGGACTTGGAGAGAGACTAAGGATCCCTGAAATGGGCAAGAGACTATGGAAGAGTATTTGCCTACATTATCACTTCATTTTTGTGGATTCAGGTTAGCACTGTATATAGGAAACTCAAGTTTTGTGGTTTGGAATTTTCTGGAACTTCTTTCTGAATAATTGTGATCCACAATTCATTGAATTTGAGGATGTGGAATCTGCAGATATGGAAGACAACTGCATCTTTATTACATGAGAAAATATTAAGGTAAATTATTTTCAAAACTATACTGGATACTTGTTTTAGTTTCATTTATAATTGCTATAACAAAATACCCAGACAAGGGACTAGAGAGATGGCTCAGCAGCTAAGAACACTTACTGCTCTTGCAGGGGACCAGGTCTGATTCCCAGCACCCACATGGCAGCTAACAACCATCAGTAACTCCAGTTCCAGGGGCTCCAATGCCCTTTTCTGACCTCCACTAGCAATGCACGCACATGGAACACTTACATACGTGCAGGCAAAACACTCATACACATAAAATAAATCCATTTCTTAAAAGATATTCTGACCAAAACAGTTTAGGGGAGAAAGGATTTACTTAAGCTCACAATTCCAGGTCACAGCCCATCACTGCAGGGATGTCAAGGCTGCAGGAACTTGATTCAACTAGTCACATCACATCCATACTCAAGAACAGAGAGAAAAGAATTAATGTGGGGCTGGAGAGATGGCTCAGTGGTTAAGAACAGTGACTGTTCTTTCAGAAGACCTAGGTTCGAATCTTAGCACCCACACGGCAGCTAACAACTGTTAACTTCAGTTCCGACATGGGATCTGGAGGGGATCTGACAGCCTCATCTGTGTGTCCTCTGCAGGCACTGCACGAAATGGATGCACTTACCTACATGTAGGCAACACATGCATATACATAAAATAACAATAACAAATAAAATATTTTTTAAAAAAAGAACTAATGCATTCATGCTCACTCTTGATCCTTTTCATTCAGTCTAGGTCCCAGCCCAGGGAATGGGCCCATCCACAGACATGCCCATAGGCCAACCAGATCTAGATAATCCCTCATTAAGACTTTCTTTCAAGTGATTCTAGATAGTGCCAAGTTGACATTACCATCACAGGGAAGAGAGATGGCTCTGCAAGTAAAAGCACTTACTGCCAAGCCTGATGACTTGAGTTCAATCTCTAGGACCCACATGGTGAAAAGAACCAACTTCCATCAGCTGTCCTTTGACTTACACACCAACACACAGTGGCATCCAAAGGGTGGCTAGCAACCACCTCCAATGCCAGTTCTAGGGGGAATCTTACACCCCCTTCTGGCTTCTGTGGGTATTGCATGCATGTGGTACATTTTACATACATACAAGTAAAATACTCATACACATAAAAGATAAATAAATTGGGCTGGAGAGATGGCTCAGCGGTTAAGTTATTGCAGAAGACCTGGGTTTGAATCCAGCACCCACATGACAGCTAACAACGATATGTAACTCCAGTTTCAGGGGATTCGATACCCTCTTCTCTCCTCCAGGGGCACTGCATGATACGGGAGCATTTACACACATTCAGGCAATTACCTTGGAGTAGTTACTACTTTATTCACGTCACCACCATCTCTTCTTGGCTGGGTATTACTAAGTTCCAGGCTTCAACAGTTTCTACACCAACCCTCCTCTCTCTGGCCTCATAGGGAAAGGCTCTTCTTGTCAATCTTTCTGGTCCATTCTACTCTTCTAGTCTTGGTTTAAAGGATCTTTTCTCACTTTCCTTACTAGCCTATTTAAAAATTTCCTAACTCCTTCCCAGTCACATCACCCATTTCAGTCTTGTTTTTTTTTTTTACAACCTGAAAATATTTTTATGTATTTATATTTTACATGTATGAGTGGTTTGCCTTCATGAATGTAAGCATATTTACTTAAGTTATCAACTGTTGTTAGCCACTAGGTTGGTGCTGGGAACTGAACCTGGGTCCTCTCCAACTGCAGCCAGTGCTCTTAACTGCCGAGCCATCTCTTCAGCACCCATTTCAGTCTTCTTTATGAACTTAGTTCTGGCTTGCAGCAGTTTGCTAACTGAATTTACCATATATCTATGTATGATTTTCATACATAACTGAATTTGTCGTGTGTGTGCGCGCATTTTGAGGCAGGGTTTGGCTAGGTAGCTCAGATTGGGCTCAAACTCTTCAGCAATCCTCTTGTATCAGCCTCCCCAGTGCTGACATTACACACATGCACCACCAAACCTGGCATATCCATCTCTAATATCTTGTCTGTAATTTACAGAAGACAATTTTTCTGGAATTTTTCTGGAAGACAGTGCTGATACTGTGGCTTTTAACAATTCATTTAATGATGCACAATTCAATGAGGAAAAAACATTCACTGAAAAAAGGAACCTGTTTATTCACCGAAAACAATTCAAGCTGCATTTTTTTATAGTCTAAATTCGTGTGTGTACAGAACTGTTTGACCCATGACTTTACAGTACAAGTCTTATATCCCAAGCACTCGAAAACAACGAAGCTTCGTGATTAGCAGTTGGGCTTTGAGCTAAGTTTTCAAAAAGCTGTTTCCCTGTCCGAGACAGAACAAAGTGCTACCCAACATGACAAAGGACAAAAACAAACACCAGTAAGAGATGTGGACAGTTTCATAACTGTAAGTAAACAATGTTCACTGCTACACTGTTCCAGGTACTTGTAGCATGTGGAAATTTGGGGAAAACGCTGTCTTTAGGCCTCCGTCACCTTAACATTGGTTCTTTCCCGGGAATCTCAAGGGCATCCTGACCAGGTCATATCCACTTTTCCCCTTCAGAGACAAAGTTCGCTCGCAAGCCTGCATTCCGGCCCCAGGGTCTCCTGATCTTCCTTTCTGCTCCATTAATACAGAAACCAAGGCTAAAGCCCTGACCTGCCGGCTCCCCAAGTTCCGGAGTAGCGGAACTGGACGCTGTGCCCAGTCAAGGACAAGAGGAGACGGAGTCGCCTGAACCAAAGAAAACAGTCTGCTCGAGAAGTGAAACGCCGCTTGAAGCACCTCAGCCTTCCCACCCAAACATGTCCTCACCTTTTCCCCGGAGCCCACCAGGACGCTTCACTGGTCTGCCGGGATCTCTCAGATCCAGAGACCCGGTCACTTATTCAATATGGCGGCATCGGCTAACTCCGGCAGCCGGACCTGCAAGACGGAAAGCCAGGAGGGACCATAAACCCAGATACTACAATTTCCCGTTCGGCAATTTCCGTCAGCCTGACAGACGGCAGGGCGGAGGCGGGGACGAAGAGGACGACTGGGACCTGCAGTTCCGCCGGAAGTAGCCGAAGCCTCACGCCCAGCACTTTCGTTCATCTTCGGCTCTTTAAGGGGCGGTTCCCTTAGCTTTGGAATCCGTGCGAAAGGAATTTAAGAAATGTCCCTTTTATTAATTTATTTCCAAACACACAGAAAGGCCCGCGGGCAGTTGTGGGCCACTGAATTCAGAAGTCCCCGGTTTTCCAGGAGGAGTGAGACTAGTGACGTACTTTGACCTTTAACCCCACACTGCGCAGCGGGAAACGCCTCCATCTATATAAGGGTTTTTCCGGCTGGCTAGGGCCTTTTTTTTTCCTCTCTGCGCTAGGCGTGACCTCCTTGTGCTCCTTCCCTCCGCTGCTGCCGGCTCCAGGATCCAGCCGACGCCATGGGTTTCGGAGACCTGAAAAGCCCCGCCGGCCTCCAGTTGCTCAATGATTACCTGGCGGACAAGAGCTACATCGAGGGGTGAGCCGGGAGGCCGGGCGGCCCTGAGGTTTCTAGGCTGGGTGTTGGGGCCACGTGGCACAGCCTCAGGGCGCAGGAGGTTAGGCCGCTGCGGCCTTCCGAAGGTAAGACGGAAAGAGCCGAGCTTCGGTCTCCCAAGGCCCAGATGCAGCTGGAGCACGTCCTCCCTGCGGGAGCTGCGAGTACAAGAATTAAAATGTATTTCGACGAAGGCTTCTTCCCCGTTTTTGTCCAGTTAATGTTAACCTCTGGCTAGAGCTGCCTTGAAAATGGTAACTCTTGAGGTCTCCTGCGGGATAAGCATTCCTGTGGCTAACTCTGAAATAGGCCGGTTAGCACTAGTTAGTTGGACAGATGCAGGATTTGTCATTTACTTGCTGGTGTTTGTGTCTTCTATTAAAGGTGTGTGCACTTGTTTTTGTGTCACCGGCAGGTATGTCCCATCACAAGCAGATGTGGCAGTATTTGAAGCAGTCGCAGGCCCACCTCCTGCTGACTTGTGTCATGCCCTCCGTTGGTATAATCACATCAAGTCATATGAAAAGGAAAAAGCCAGGTAAAATATCTTTGTATCTATCCGAAGAATAATAAAAGGGTGCTTTCTGAGCATAACCAGGATTTTCACGTGGCAAAATTGGACCCAGATTGAAGTTTCTTTAGCTCTGTTGGGATATTGTGGGCTGAATTTCTTTGTGAAATTCAGCCAAGAGACTGAAGTCCTCCATTTTTTCACAGAACAGGTAGAACGTGGACAACCGCAGTTCAACCTTTCCCCACACCTCCCTGCCAATGTTCTTCGACCCTGACCTGGGGGGGCCACCGCTGGGGTGAGAGGGTGGCTCATTGATTCCTTGACCATTCTTCTGAAACTACAAACGAGGGTGGAAGTTTGGGAAAGTGGACTCCAGTTCATTAAGAATGGAACTGAGCATACTTAATGAAATCTCAAACAGAGATGTTCTTTGTGAAAGAGTAAATCATAGTGAGTATTGAATATATCTCTCACGGTACTGTTTGTTGGGTAAAGAATTAGACATAAAATTATTTACCTGGGATTATGCTGAAGGATGAATTACTAGAGCAAAATTTAGTGATGGTGGGGAAAGAACAATTTCATGTATTTCCCAGAAAAGGATGCTGTATCAATCTAATGTAAATTTTCTTTTTAAGCCTGCCAGGAGTGAAGAAATCTCTGGGCAAGTATGGCCCTGCCACTGTGGAAGACACCACAGGAAGTGGAACTGCAGATGCTAAAGATGATGATGACATTGACCTCTTTGGATCTGATGAGGAAGAGGTATGGTGTCTTTAAGAGTAAATTGATAGGTACTATGTCTTTATGCAAAAGCACAGATGTTGCAAAATGGCCTGGGTTTTGAATCCTGGCTTCACTTTATTATTTGCCTTTTTAAAAATTCTCACCAGTTACATGATGAATAAAATCAAATCACCATCTTTCGGCTGAGTTCGTGATGGATTTGCTTTTTTCTGATAAATCTGGTCATTTGGGGGATGACCCTGCCACTAAATTTAAGCAGAAGAATAACCAGCTTTGTAAAATGATTTTCTGTGTAGGAAAGCGAAGAAGCAAAGAGGCTCCGAGAAGAACGTCTTGCACAGTATGAATCGAAGAAAGCCAAAAGTAGGTCATTTTGTCGTCGTAACTTGTGTGTGGTGGTGAATGCCTTTAGTCCTAGTGGAGGCAGGTACATGTCTGTGAAACTGCCACAGCTACTGGTCTGCAGCTGTTTTCATGATAGCAGTTGTGGCATTCCTCTGTGGGAAAGAAACTGTTGCACAATTTAATGCCTCTTTCTTAGCCAAACAGAAAGTAGGTATAGCACGTGTGTGACAGACACAAGATGCATTCTGTAGGTGGTGGTGGTTTTCCTGGGTTTTGTTGCTGTTTGATTTTGATTTTGATAGATGTGTTTCAAAACAAATTGAGATTTGGTCTTGGATGAGAATATGTATTTTGAGTGTTAAGTAATGCCTTTCTTAATCTTTTTGTAGAACCTGCAGTTGTAGCAAAGTCTTCCATCTTACTAGATGTGAAACCTTGGGATGATGAGACAGATATGGCAAAATTGGAGGAGTGCGTCAGAAGCATTCAAGCAGATGGCTTGGTGTGGGGCTCTTGTAAGTTTAATGATTGCATTTTAAAATTAGCATTTAGAATTGGCATAGATTTTCGTCTCATCAATAGGACTTCTCTAACTTTTTTTTCTTAATGTTCTTTTTTTAGCTAAATTGGTTCCAGTGGGATATGGAATTAAAAAGCTTCAAATACAATGTGTAGTTGAAGATGATAAAGTTGGAACAGATATGCTGGAGGAGCAGATTACTGCGTTTGAGGACTATGTGCAGTCCATGGACGTGGCTGCTTTTAACAAGATCTAAAATCTTATCATCAGTACATTTAAATAAAAGCTTGAAGGAATAACCCTTCACTTTTGATTCTGTGTAAGGAATGGTGTATATCTTCAGAGGGAAAGGGGTCAATGACTATAATTCTTTGTTTTTAATATTTGTGTGTGTGTTGAGTATATTGCCTACACATAATGTAAGTGCACCTTTGTCATGCAATGCCCATGGAGGTCAGAGGGGTATTGGATTCCCCTGGAACTGGAGTTATAGACGGTTGTTAGCTGCTATGTGGGTGCTAGGAACTGAACCTGGCTCCTCTCTTAAGAGCAGCTAGTGATCTTAACTGATGAACGATTTCTCTAGCCCCATAATTTTTTTTTTTTTTCTTTTTGGTCTTTTTGAGACAGGGTCTCCCCAGCTGACCTGAAACTCACTATGTAGACCATGCTAGCCTTGAACTGACAGCTGCCTGCCTCTGCCTCCTGAGTACTGGGACTAAAGGCGTGCACTACCACATTGGGCTTCAGCCCCATAATTCTTAAATAATAATTTGACTGGGTATGGTGGTGCACACCCTTAATCCCAGGCTTAGGAGGCAGGGACAAATGGTTCTCTGGGTTTTGAAGCCAGCCAGGGATACATAGTAAGACCCTGCCTCAAAAAAAAAAAAAAAGTGGAAGTGTATGTGGGGGTAAAGGCACTTGCTCAAGCTTTAGGACCTGAGTTCAATCCCCAAGGACCCACGTGATGCTCCTGCACACAAATTATTAAACATTTAGCAATTGTAGAATTGCAGTTTAATTCTACATTCATCCTATCCTCAACAGTGCATGATACTGGTGACTGGTTTGTTGTGACCCAATGTCTTCAAATTGGGATTGATTATTAAAAAGGGAGGGCTAGAAGGCTTATTTGCTTTGAACACTGGTTGCTCTTGCAGAGGATCCAGGTTCAATTCCTAGCACCTACATGGCAGCAAACATCTGTGCTAACTCCAGTTCTATGGGATTTGACTCTTCTGGCCTCCATGGGCACCAGGCGTGGCACGTGATGCAGTTTGATAGCATGCTGATAGTTTCCCTATAGCCTCAGCTGGCCTGGAACTTGCTATGTAGACCAAGTTAGCCTTGATCTCATAGAGATCCACCTGTCTCTGCCTCCTGAGTGCTGGGATTAAAGGTGTGTGCCACCACACCCAGCTAGAAATATTTTTTTGAATTTTATGTATGAGTGTATTGTCTACATTTATGTAAGTGCACATGTGTTGTGCAGTGGCCATGGAGGGTGTCAGATCCCCTGGAATTACGGATGGTTGTTAGCTGCTATGTGGGTGCTAGAAATTGAACCTGGATCCCCTACAAGAGCAGCTAATGCTCTTAACCTCAGAGCCATTTCTCCAGGTAAAATTCTTTCAAAATATTTTTATTATTTTTAGTATATGTATGAGTGTATTGTTTGCATGTAAGGGCACACGTGTCATGCAATGCCAACAGAGGTCAGAAGAGGGCATCGGATCCCCTGGAACTGGAGTTAGGACTGGTTAGCTACCATGTGGGGGCTGGAATTCAACCTGGGTCTTCTGTAAGAGTAGCCAGTGCTTTTAGCTGCTGAGCCATGTCTCCAACCCTTAAAAAAAAAAAAAGTTTTATTGAACTTTTTAACATTTCATATAACAGTTCTTAATCTTTTTAGTTGTGAGCCTGAGCCTTTAACAGCTGTGCCAGGCCTCCAACCCTATACAACAGTTCATTTTCAAATTTAGACCTCTACCTCCCATTGGACCTCATGTATTCCACTATACATGTTAAGTCCTATCCAGTCAACATTTATACCCAGATGTCCTGTGGAAATACATCCACTGGAGTCTAGTCAACTTAACTAGAAATTGTTGGTAAGGCCTACTTTCCCTCACCCAGTAATGATCAGTCTCTAAAAATGTTAAAAAAAAAAAAATCTTGAACCATTTGAGATGGCTCTGCTTTTAAGGGTGCTTGCCACCAAGACTGAGCACCTTGAATTCAATCCCTGGAACCCACGTGGAAGGACAGCATCAACTCAACATGTGCACCCACACAGAAAATGAAAAAATCTAAAAAATATTAAATGTCACTTGAAAATTAAGCTTTGGTGATAATAGATGTGTAACAGTACCAGAGGAGGGAAATTATAATTAGTATAGCCATTTGCAAATGTTACAGATTGAAAATAATGCCTTGTACTATAAAGGCTCAACATCTTAGATGTGATCTGGAGTTAGCATTATTTCCCGGGAAGAGCATTATATAGGTAGCTTCACAGACTTCTCTTTCTAGTGGAGGTCTGTAAGGTGTTGGGGGTATTTTCACTTGGATTTGGAAATCTGAACCTGGTCTTCAGGTAAATGCTGGATAGGAGTATGTTAAGTCAAGTGTACTCTACTGGAAACAGTTTAACTTTTGCTAGGGATTGAACATAACACATTGTTCTACCTGGCAATTACTCTGCAAACAATTTGGGGATTTACCCTTTAAAGCTTTCTATACTTTGTAGATAAGGATCCAGAAGATTAGATGGTATGTTTGGGATCATTTATTTCACTAAACCTGACAGTGCTTTTGCTCTCAGCCTGGTTACCTTCAGTGTGGGAAGTTTCACATAAAGATTTAATCAGATTAATCTATTCAAAACCTTCACTAAGGAAAATTCAACAGTCCTAGCCTAAAATTTTCAGGCGGTTAGGAGAAGCCAGCAGAGAGCATGTAAGTAGCATGAGAGCCAGCAGAGGGCAGCATTGTATTTTCTGGGGATCCACAGTGCTCGAGAATTCTAGAAAATACCAGAGAACAGTGATGATAAGGTACATTTTATTTGTCTTATACTGGTGTCTACTTAAACAGAGGAGCAGAATATAGAGCTATGCCATTCATACCTTCCCTTTGAAACTGTTGTGAGATTGGGCCAGCCTATAGACCATCAATATGTGTTCCTATATTTTTAGTAATTTTATATACACTTGTACATAGCTGGAATTTTCCGTAAGCATTTGTAATGGGATCATAGCAGACTAAAGATGAACACAAAATTTTGGACACTTGTCAGCAAGAGGTAGGTGGTCTGTCCTTTCCCCTTGCATCTGACCTAGCCTGGTCTTGCTTTAGCCAATTGAATATGATGGAAATAATGCTGTGTGAATGACATTCATATCTTTCGGGGGGGCGATGGGGGGAAATTACAGCTTAACAACTCCTAGGTCACAATCCATCATGAAGGGAAATCAAGGTAGGAACTCAAGCAGGACCCTGGAGGCAGGAACCCAGCTAGTCAGTCTCCAGCAACCTCATCAGGAAGAGGCCAACACCCAAAATTTAAGAGGGCTGAGAATGTGGCTTAGTGGTGGAACACTTGATGCTGTGGGCTTTTAAAACTGAGAAGCCTGGTCGTCCCGAGCAGGATCCTGGAGCAGACGGAAGGGAAGGGAGAGGAATGACAGGGTAAGGCTATTTGCTAGCCAGCCCCAGCTCTTCCAAACTAAGGCCATTTGCATCATCATTATCTACCTGAGGCTCCAGATATGGGAAGCAGAGTCAAGTCTCACTCTGCCTTTTTAAATTTCTAATCCTCAAAGTTGAGATCTATCAATGATAAATTGTTTTACGATTAGATTTTGGGGTGATTTATTAACTATAAACGATAGTAAATAGGAAGTTTTAAAACAATGTAGCTATTTAATCCATAAATTACACATAGATTAATGAAATTGAATATATGTATTTGATCTATTGCTAAAATGTATGAATATTCATTAGTTTATACGACTAGCCTGGGTTACCTTGTGAGACCCTGTCTCAAACAAAGGTTAAAAATAATATTGACTTTTAATCCCAGCACCCAGGAGGCAGAGGCAAGCAACTGGGGCTACAGGGAGGCCCTATCACAAAAAGACAAGAAAAAAAATACTGAAAAGGCAATGACTAGGGGACTGGGAGATGGTCTGTTTGGTAGAGTGCTTGCAAGGAAGACCTGAGTTCAATTCCCAGAACCCACATCAAACCCTGCTATGGTATCATGCACTTGTAATCTCAGTGTTGGGGAAGCAGAGATAGGTAGATCCCGGGGGCTTGCTGGCTAACAAGCTTAGCCTACTTGAGCTCTAGGCCAGTGAAAGACCTTGTCTCAACAAAGGTGGGTGGCTCCTGAGGAACAACACTTGAGGTTGACCTCCAAACACAGTTTGCACGTGTATGCACCCACACAGAAAGACGATGACCAAAACAACAACCCAATACTGTCTCAATAGTGATGATTGATGTGCTGTGGTAAGCTTTATAAGAAGGATTTCTTTAATCAGATGCATAGATTGTTGAATAAAATGTAGTTCTGGAGCAGACCCAGCCTAAAGTAGCGAAGAAAAGTTTTAGCTTGTCAGCTTCACAACAGCCACCAGAGGGCAGCCTGAATGATTCGTCACTAAATTGTAGGGAATAGACTGCAGAGCCTCCTTACAGTTTATATCCATACAAAAATGTGAGCTCAATAAACTGACCAAAAACAACAAAAATATGGTCAGCTGTAAATTAGAATGAAATTTAACCCAGAAGTGTTTGCTAAAAGGCCCACGTGAAAACCTCACACAGAGTTTGGGGAAAGCAGTAACTCATTGGGCTGTTTCCAGGAGAGACTGATTCTTGGTTTCAGAGTTCCTGAGCTGTTCACTGACTGTGCCGGAGCAGCTGACGTCCCACAGCGTGTGCTTTAGTATCTCAGCAACGGAGGCCCGAAATCGAACTTGAAACTTCTTGCTAATTAGAACATAAAGGATGGGGTTCAAGCAACTGTTGAGAAATGCCAAACCAGTAGAGAGAGGAATTCCAGCCTGCAGCACCTGGTGGAAATAGCTATTGTGGTGAATGGTGAGCTCCCAAATACTAAACAGGTGGTAAGGAGTCCAGCAAATCATAAAGGCCATGACCACAGACAGTATTGTCCAGAAATGCTTACTAGAGATCAGAATGCTGCGCTTCTTCACCTTGAAGATGAGGCATAAGTAGCAGATACTCAAGGTGACCAAAGGGAAGAGGTAGCCAACGATAAATTTCACCCAGGTCAGAACATGGTGTCTCATCAAGGTGAGGTCAGGGTCATGCTCATGGAAATTGTTATAACAAAGGGTATGGTTATTGACCTCCAGAATATCCCGGAAGTACAGGGCAGGACCTCCAATTAGAGAAGCCAAGAGCCAGACAAATATAATAACAACCAGGGAGTTCCTTAGGGTTCGATGCCGATGAGACAAGACAGGATGGATCAAGTGGATATAGCGGTCCAGGCTGATCACTGTCAGAAAAAAAACACTGGAAAACATGTTCAACTGAGCAATGAAGGAATTGGCCTTACATAACCAGATGCCAAAGGGCCAGTGGAAATTCAAGGCCACATAGGAGATGTACAGGGGCAGGAAGAGAACAAAAATGAAATCTGCAATGGCCAGATTGAGGAACCAGAGAGTGGTGACTGTCTTCTTCCACTTGAAACCTGTGAACCAAATGACAATGGCATTGCCTGGAATTCCCAGAACAAATGCTATGCCACATAACACTAGGGAGACCCAGTGAACAATTCCCAGGTGTACTTCCTCTTCCAAATCAGACTCTGGGGAATAATATTCCTCCAAGGTATAGGAATAGTTCTCGAATTCTTCAAATAATGTTTCCTCTAGATCTCCCATGATGACCTTGTGGGTGGAGAATAAGGAGATCTGTAGAAGCAAATTTTAAAAAGAAAAATAAAGTTAGAGAATTAAGTTCAGTGAATAAGAAACACAAACAGGAAAGTATTTCATCTATGACAAAGACATGGTATTGTTTATGGTAGGGCTTGTGCTTATACTAAAGAAAGATATCCAAGTCCTTGTGGACCTCAGTTTCACTGAATATGCTGTCAAGGCTATAAGAGTTCTTTTGGTATTTAGTAATTGGTAGGTTAAAATGATCAACTCTATAGGTCAATCCCTCTGCAATACTTGCAGCATTTACTAAAGAGAATATTAACATTCAACAAACATCAATTAGTTCCTGCTATGCAGTATTATGTAGATGCAAAGGAAAACAGATTGATAGTTACACAGTGGTGAGTTCCAAATTTGCATTTGTACCCTGACTCCTTAAGCTCTAGCCTGAGAATAACTCTTTTCTTTCTTACTTTTTCTTTCTTTCTTTTCTTTTCTTTCTTTCTTTCTGTCTTTCTTTCTTTCTTTCTCTCTCTCTCTCTCCTCCCCCTCCCCACTGTAGCCCCAGCTGACCTGGAACTCAGTAACTGTGTATTCTCCTCCTCCTTCTTCTTCTTCTTTTTGAGACAGTCTCCCTGTAACCCCAACTGTCCTGGAACTCACTATGTAGACCAGGCTGGCCTTGAACTCACAGAGATCCACCTGCCTCTGTCTCCCGAGTGCTGGGACTAAAGGTGTGCATCGCCGCACCCAGCTAGAAAGCTATTCATTTTTTACTCTGTTGAAATTCCTTTGTTTTTAGTTAACTTGAATTCCTTTCTATGATTAGGACAAAAATTAGTTTTACATTATTTTGTCTATTATTTCTATCAAAGTGTTTTTACTTATACTTTTCCCTTTCTTGTCTTACCAATTTTCCTGTGTTAAAACTTCAATGTCAGCTTTTTTCATAATTAATTTAATTTTGTTTGTTTTTATATCCTAGTCTGGCCTTGAACTCACTAAGTAGCCCAGGCTGTCCTCACACTCAGCAGTTCCTTGTCTCAGGCACCTGAAAGCTAGGATTGTAGGCACATCTCTTCACACCTTGTTTATTTGACCTGAGGGTGGAACCCAGGGCCTTAGGCCCTCCTTCTTTCCCTCCTTCTTTCCTTTCTCCTTTTTTCTCTTTTCCTTGCCTTTCTAACATTTTGCTTTTTTTTTTTGGTCCAGGCTGTCTTCAAGCTGGAGATCCAACTTCCTCATCTAAATATGTCAGCAACAATTCTACCTGATTGAGATTCTTCACTAAATAAGACAACTATTTTTTCTTCTCTCTTAAATGTTAGATTCTAGCAGACAGAGATACAGAAGAAAAATATAATTTTAAAAGAAAATTATATACTGTATTAAAAGGTGGTAAGTACTTTAGGGGTTGGAGAGATGGCTCAGTGGTTAAGAACACTGGTTGTTCTTGCAGAAGACCCAGGTTCAAATCCCAGCACCCACATGGCAGCTAACAACTGTCTGTAACTCCAGTTCCAGGGGATCCGACAGCCTCTTCTGTCCTCCGTGGGCATTGCATGACACGGGTACATTTACCTACATGCAGGCAATACACACATACACATAAAATAAAAATAAAATTTTAAGAGAAGGTGGTAAGTACTCTAGAAAAATGGGGCAAGGGGAAGGACAGCTGAAGGGGATGGGGAATGATATTAATTTTCAAATTAGAAGGACAGAGAAGGACTGTTGAGAAGATAACTGGAGGAAGAGGCAGTGCAAATTGTCTAAAAATCAAATGTATTCTGGAAACAGTAAGGATCTCAGCACATCAAGATTAAGGTGAGATGGCTCAGCACGTGAAGGCGTTTGCTGCCAAAACTGACAATCTGAGTTTCATCTCTGGGACCCGCATAGTGGAAAGAGAGAGCTTATTCCCACAAGTTGTCCTCTGAGTACATGCATACCACGGTACATCCCACCTCACACAAAATGTCAGAGAGCAAGAGAGACAGTGATAGAAAGAGTGATGGTGGGGGAGAGAGAGAGGGGAGAGGGGGAGAGAGAGAGAGAGAGAGAGAGAGAGAGAGAGAGAGAGAGAGAGAGAGAGAGACCCTCCAAGCTGCCACTTGAGGTTCTGTTGGGTCTGCCCACTTTCCTGAGTCCCAGTAGATGTAACTTTTC